TATACACCCTGTATTGTATTTGCCATGGAGCAAGCAACACGTTTATACACTAGTCTCTATAACTTAATGCTGTGTAACAGCATTTTTTTTCTTTTCTTTAGATTTACAAAACAAAATATCTATTGAGAAATAATCTAATCATATTGCTCTTCAATACACTTCTGTAGACAAGTAAGACTCGAAGTTAAACTTCAGTAAACCGCAGCTTTTGGGAGCCCACAAACAGCTATAAAACTCCTCCACTCAAGTCAGTCCTTGGAAGTATTACCATGTGCTGCTGTAATTCAGTATATAAAGGTGCTATATATATATATATATATATATATCCCATGTACAGACAACGTGTGGTGGGAAGGCTTGTCGTCATCATTGCTGAAGCTTAAGAGACGGGTTAACCTCACGTACAGCAGATTCGTTTCCATGTTCCATGCATCTTACATTTACTTCATGAAAATGAGGACACAAATAGGAAGAAAAGGAAAACTTTAGTCAAACACTGCTTTAGAAACACTGCGGCAGAGGCCAACATCCTTCAGTTATAGAAACAACTGAATTTCCCTTTTTATCTTTTCTTTTTTTTTTAGTCAAAATAAATCTCAGGGCTAGTGTACAAAGTGCAGGACCGACCCACTTGAGGAAGCGACTTTAAAATCAAGTTACAATGGCACCATCCCGTTCACCAACTGGACCTTCATCTCTTGAAGGCTGTTCATTATCTTCTTCTGGTGACCAACAAGTGTCACTCCCAGCCGTCTCAAGTCCCTGTGGGAGAAAGCAGACGTTGGTTCCAGGGACCGCTCAGGCACATGCCGCCGCATACACCACGCGCCGCACGCGCTGATGCTGCTGCCAGTGCCTACCTCTTACCATTGGTGGCTCCCAGAGCCAAATTTAGTTGGCAAGTTTGATTTTCCCCATTTGTTTTTTTAATTTGTTAATGGCTGACAGCATCTCGGAGAAGTGACGTGATTTGACCGAGATCACCTCGCTGGCCAAGGAGAAAAGCTGGACAGCAAAGCGTCAGCATCACCTTTGGCCAAGGAGTCTGCTAGGCGTGAAAAGTCCTATTTCCAAGAGAAAAGCCATGTAAGAAAGCCTGCGTTGCAGTTTTCTCTTCTCCTGGGAGAGGCTGGTATTTGATCTCAGACACGAACAGTGAAGAGTGAGGTCAATCCATGCTTCCTTCCTCTTCGGACTAGGCAAAGCCAAAGATACATAAACCATAATCCTAGGTAGCCAGCTCCTACAGAGGGCTGAACGGCAAAAGCCTTGAGCATGGCCACCACCCTAATGACCCCCTGAAGTCAACAGGAATTGGCAACACAGCTCCCCTCTGGGCTTTTGCAAACCATCCCATAAACCCACATTTGATTTTTTGGGGGGTGAATTCTACAAGCCAAAGGCATTTGTGTTGAGTCTGTCTACTGGGCTGCCATTACAGGAAAGCTGTAAAATAAGATAGTTTATGTGAAGTGCAGGATTAGGAGGAAAGACTCTTTTCTCAGAAGCTCAGCACTCTAAAATTTAGGTGTATAGATGAAGGTAATCACCAAGGTTCATGCTGATGGCATGAAAAAGGCACCTCCAGGGGACAAGTTATCCCATCCAAAGACAGGAGTGGGACAAGTTGTCCCCTGGACATACTACAGCAGGACCTTGGGTGGTCAGATTCAATGACACATCTAAAGCTAGGTAAGGCCACGGATTACAGTAGAGTATAATTGTAGAGATTTCTTTCTGGGGGAAAAGTGTTAACAAAGAAATTGTAGGAATAAAAGCTCAGAACAAGCATCAAGACAGGTGCATCCATTTTCCAACACAAGACACAGAGACCATCAGAGAAGCAGTTTGACTTAGAGGAGACGTGGTATTTTGTCTGAAGACTTCCACTAGAGAAATATCAGCCCCTTGCTTTCTACCTGCAGGCTGGACTGAATAAAGGATGTTTTCAAAGTAGGGCTCTACAGCCTTGCCAATACAGGCATGAATCCCAGAGCTGCTGACACCCTGAGTGCAAGTCTTTTAGGAGAAAGCTCTCCACTGAAAAGCCAGTGGGACATGACCTCGAATATGTAGGTGCTTTTTGGAAACCACACTGGTGGGGCCGGCACGTGCAAGGGCTGGGGATTGCCAGCAACACCTGGAAGCCCAACCATCACCTGAGATATATTGCAAACCTGGCCTACAACTCACAGCATGGCTACATGCTGCACTGCAGGTGATCATGTGCAATGACCACCAAAACACTTTCATGTAACGTTGTGTGAGCTACCCATGGAGGTGTAACTCTCTCAGCAGTTTCACATCCTGGACAGAGACTCCTGTGCGAATACAACCAACCATCCATGTCCAAAAATTACACAGATGAACACTGCTTTGAATAAAAAACAATCCTGAGTGAAGGTTGATATGTTAACACATACGCTGGTTGAAGCCAAAAGCTAGATCCGTTGCTCTCCAAGGATTGTCACGCTTTCAGCCTTCTGATTTGGAAAATACCAGATTTTCTGCTCCAGGCTAAACACTTCATTTCATTATTGTACCCTTTTTCAGCAATGCATCTTGCCGATGCATAGGGGAAATCATAATGTAAGGGGCACGGAGCAAGGGAGGTCAATGAGACACATCAGCAACGCTCCTTACCTGGCAGAGAAAAGGCTGCAGCATCTGCAAAAGGTGTCTACCTTCTCAGGGGGACATGCTTTCATTTCTGCCTCCACTGAATTGTGAAACTAGTTCAGCAAGCCATCTTAATAATGAAGGAAAATGTAGTAATGCTATTGTTACATGCAATTTATTTTATGTACACAGCACAGTTGGAAGTTCACACCAAAGATCAAAAAACCCCCCAAACCCAACCCAGTATAGGACCTGATTTTTAAAAGAGCCAACATCCATCTTCCCCCTGCTGAGTGCTGCTCTGCTGGCACTTTTTGAAAATTCAGCTTTCTTTTTTTTTCCCCCAGGTATCTAAAGTGCAAGCTGAGCTCTTTTGAAAATCCAGCACCACATATTTCACAGATGTATCATGTCTGATACTCTTGCATGTTATGCAGAAAAAATAGCCTGAAACTATGAGAAAGGCATGTACATCTTGGCGTTTCACACGCAGCTCCATCAGTCTAATAAAAAAAACTCTACTCACTACACAACTTCTTTTTTACCCTTATAGTACCCCCGTAACTCAGTATCCTTGAGGAGCGCCTTACTGATTTACAAGAAAGAAAGAAGAAAAAGGAGTTTCTGGTTTCAATCCATTAACTGCTCGCCAGGAGATCCAGTCTATTTTTTTTGAATGTCAAATCCTCTTGGATATGGAGCCACGGGCCAAAAGCACAGGGACTCCTCAGAAAGGGGAAGAAAACTACCGTGGGGTCTTTCACCTCCACAAAGACAGACCAGAAGACAACAGCTCCAGAGCCAGATGCTCACCTAGTATAAAATCAGCAGCTTTATTCAAAAGCCACCTCGTACGTTGCAAAGCCAGCAACAAAACTTTCCAAAAACCGCCTAGAGAATGCAGGAGCTTTAATTCCCATTTTTCAAGCGTAACTTACAGCACGTTGCACGCTCCTGCGCATCCAGTGCTGAAGGGCTTAAAGTGGTGTAAAGCAGAAGCCAATTTTAAACAAAATTGGGTGCACAAACCAGCTGGTTTTGGGACAAAAAAAATCAACTTCTGTGCCAAAGGGCTGCAAAACAACTGTTCTCAAGCTCCAGTCCAGAGCTGCTTGGCTCACGTTACCGCAGCCAACTGGTAATTTCACTGGGCTCAGCTCCGCAGAGATGTGCATGGGTATCTACTGGGGCTTTGCAACAGAAATGTGCAATTCCCTGCAAGAAAAGGCACAACTAAGACCCAGGGGCAAACGACACTTGCAATCAGGATCCAGGCTGCAACTTGCCATGCAGGTGACCTGATCCCCAGTGTTGGGTTTTGTGTGCACTGCTGCGGCAGCGGCAGGGGTGCTCCCCGCGGCCGTGGAGATATGTGCACCCATGTGCTGTGGTGTCTCCCTGCTTCAAAATACTTGATGGCCCCAGCAATGAGGCAACTTTTATTTTTGTTTCAGGGGGAAGTCTCCCCTTTTCACTTCTCTTTCATTCACATAGGGCTGAAAATGGAAACAAGCAGGAATTTGAATCACTTGCCGAGTGAGTCAGCACTAAAAGGCTGACTTAAGTTGATGATAAAGCCAAGGAAATAAAGGGGAAAATTGGTGTCGGCTCATCCCAAACAGCCTGTATACAGCTGCACGTATGCTGCTTTCTTACCACCGCCTTGCATGAAAGCCCAGCTGCAGCGTGCCAGGGACAACACGATATCCCCTTCCCTGCAATGTCCTCCATTTGCAAAGGTTGAATTCATGGTCTTCACGTTGTAAGAAATATATTTAAAACACTTTATTTACAAACAGAACTACTTATATACCATGGACCAGTTTGTCAAACACAGTGTAGACTAGGACTGGATTGCCACATAAAATACAAGCCCCCTCACCAGCCGGTTAGTCATGCAAGCAAAAGGGCCAGGTTCCTGAAAGATCTCCGTGGCTGGCAGCCGTCAACCTACCACAGATATTTTGTATGTCATCTCCCATGCAGGCCAGATTTCACCACTCTTCTTCACATGGTGTAACTCTACAATTGCCCGTGCAGACTAGGACTACTCACGGAGTTAGTTAGTTGTCAGTTTGAATGAGGGGAAAGAAGAAGAACCTCAAAGACCTTCAGAAGACGCTAAAGAGAGAGGAATCCACTTGCTAGGGACTTTTGCATGAAATGAGGACTTAAAAAAAATTTTTTTTTTTAAGAGTTCATCTGCTCTTATTAATTATTCCCATCTTACTTGATTACGAGATGAGAACTGGTTTGTTCAGAAGCAGATGTAGTATCACAATCTCAGGACTGAGACTTCAGGTTAAGAATAAGCATCTAGAGCAGGTGAACTCTTAAATGCTCTTCATCCAGTATAACTTTTAATAAATAATTTGTTTTATTTTATTTTAGAAGAAAAAAAAATACACAATGCAAAGCAACACAGCACATACTATTACAAATATTCAGAGCTCTTAATCTAATAACAAACAGCAGGGTGTCCTGAGATTCAGTGAGTACAGATCTTTCAAAAGGTGGAAGTTTGTAGTCCACAGGGTTAGTAATAGGTCCAGTCAAGGGTCAGACTGAAACTCATGTCATGGATCTATCTATTCTTGAGTATTGTCCTGGTAAAGTTATTCTTGCAGTGGATTGAAAGAGCTCCAGACACACTCAAAGTCACTAGGTGGTCCACAAGTTTAAAGAGCAGGTCTGGTCCACTGGAAAGGTTGCCTTCAAGTCTGATATCCAGTTGGAAAGAGGGGGTGGAGGATGAGGCTCCACTTTTCACAAGGTGATTCGTCCCTTTGCAAGAATTAGAGCTAAATGTAGAAATCACTCTTTGTTTGAACACATACAATTTCAGGTCTTTGCTTAAGCAGGCAGAGCTCAGGACTTGGGGCGATATTCACCGGTTTTAGCTTTTTAATCTTTTGCTTTCAGAAATTTGTCACTAATACTACTCTTTCTGGAATAAATACATCAAGCCGTCGGTTTGAAAGAAGCAGGGTGGTAATCAGGATTTTGCTTTGCTTGCCAAGGGGGATTTAAAAAAAATGCTGAACATCTACCATCTCAACCAGGTCCTGTAAAGAGGCCACAAGCTGGGCACCCACAGTCACCAGTCCCGTCAGCGTTATGGTCAACCCCTCCCACAGTGCTAGTAATTTTTTTTTCAGTAGATTTTAGGAATTCTTTACATTCATCTTTCCCCCCCCCGCCTTTTCTGGCAGCGATTATCCCGTTCTCCTTTCTCCATCTAATTTCCACATCTGTCTCCTATGCAGTTTGAATTCGGGGAAGATCATTTTGGATGGTATTTGAAGGCAACCTCTTAAATTGTAGAGAATGTTTTACTGATGGCATTTGGGGAAAGCAAGCTACTTTCAGATGTTCAGATCATCTTTTCGCCCGATCCCCCCAAGTCCCAGCTCTGGAATATACTGAACAGTTGCCTCTATTAAAAATGACAAGGAACATTTAACCTGAATTCTCCTTTGCAGAGTACAAAATGTTTTGTTGTTCCCTTTTACAGAGAGAAAAAAATGAAAACCAGAAACCCCCAATATATTAACCTTTAAAGAACTTTGCTTGTTCCGGTGTTTATTTTCTGGAGAACCCATGACAGTCTCAGCTGACCCCACCCAGGAGCCATTTCTCTCCCTTAACTTTGTTGATTTTAAGGGCAATCTGCCAGTTTACATCAGTCTGAGCACAGGGTTCAGGTCTTCAACACAGAATACTTTTCCTCTCAAGCCACTATGATGGTTTCTCCTTTTTTAACAGCTGAGAAGCTGGTCTTTTGTCTTTTTTTACTGTATCTCAGAGGGATAAGAGAAGTCTTGATTTGGATGGCTGGTTGGCTTTTTAATGAACCTTCCACAGTTTTTCCCACAAACAGACCTGAGTGGGGTCAAGCCTTCTTGCTAAGCCACCACTGCAACTCGAAGGTATGTGGGCTGAGCTGTTCAAGAATCCAGCCTGACTCATGCAAGCATCTCTGTCCAAGGCAGATTGGGGTGGGGGGGGATTTATTTGCTGACATGGATAACTATCTAGTTGGAGTTAGTTTCAACTGAACTGCAGGATAGATTCATGAAATGTCTCCTTTCAGCTTAAAAAAAAACCCACAAAACAAACCCCAGAGGCTCCCCAGGCTTCCAGGCATCAGCTCCTCTGCACTGCTCTGCTGCTGTAAAAGCCCAGAAGAAAGCTGAAGCTGAGCAGCTTAGACACGTTGTTTCCACTGGGGCTAGTAAAGGACCAGAGTAGGATGACAGTTGTGCTATAGAGAACAGACTGGGACCTGGTGAAGGGGGCCTTAGAGGTGTTTTGCAGCTGGTAAGGGTCAGAGCGTCTCTGGCAGCTAAAATCTTATTTAAAGACTTTTAAACCAACTTGCCTTTCTGGCTAGAACTGTACATATAATGGACTTCTTGGTTCACTGCCAAATGGAAAAACCATTTTGAAGTACTTTTTGGGTAGCCTGAGAAGATTTTGGGGTATATTTTTGAAATTTTTGGAATACCAAAGAGTAAATATAGGGAAGTATTTAAATTTTTAAGTCAAATTAAGGAGATAATTTCACAATGTGAAATGTTGCACTCAAGAAAATGGAAGGTTAGGAATAGTTTTGTCAGCGGTATGTGATGCTAAGACTGTGTCAGCACAGAAGGATGTTAAGACTGTTTAAAGCTACATGAGTAAGTGAACTTCTAATTTACTGTAAAAAATGACCATTAATTTGGGCTCAAACTCAACATTTTCTCTGACCCAAACCAATGCACTTTACTTCTGAGCATTTCTTTTGGAGCTCTTGAAATTCCATAAAATTCTAAAGAGGAATGAACTGGAAGCTTTTGTGAAACCCAATTTTCTTCTTTGATATGACTAATTCAGCCAAACAGCAACAAGTCTGTGATATATTTTAGACAATCTGCATTTTCTACCAGAACTTGCTCTGATTATAAGATTGAGGTGGCACAGTACAGGGTAATGCTCCAACGTTTTCCTTTTCTCTAAAATTACTGCCTCATCCTATCCCTCATCTTCCCACTCACCATCTTGCTAGGTCTTTCTGCCATGTGGACTCTTGACCACCTGGCGATCAACCTCTTGGTCAACATTTGTAGATCACCAGTCTAAATGGAGACCCAAAGCCTGGTGTTTCTGGGCACTGCCATGTCAGATGAGTAGGTAAGGAACCATGGAGTCCTCAAAAGCCAAAGTAACATGGTATGTAATTGCAGGACTAGGCTGGGAAACTGCGTGTAAGAGTCTCAGGCACCCAAAAAGGATCTACGTAGAAATCCATGCACCCTAGCTCAGGGTTTTAACATGAATGCCTGAAGATAGACTGGATGAGTCCAGGTGTAAGAGACAAATATTGGTGATATGAGTGGAGCAAATAAAGTCTGAGTGAGAGCAGATATGCTCCTGCACTCCCTCCATGCATGTAGCGCAAAATTGAACTCTATTATAGAGATTTACTGACCTGCATCACATGCAAAGGACCTCCTACCCTGTATGGTGAGCTCCACAGCAAGACCTGTGGTAGACAGGAGAAATCCTGTGGTTCTATGGGGTATGGGGATTTTTCTTGTTTTATTCCTAATCCTCAGCCCTGATTCTGTATGTGCACTGGCAATCTGCATGTGGTTGGAGCAGCCACAACCTTCTCCAAAGCAGCACAGAGCATAATCCTTCCCATTCTGCCTTAACACCTGCAGTAAACTAAGCTCAAATTAACCCAGCTAGAAAGGCAGGCTTTGGGGCGAGCTTGAGTAAGCGGCAGGAGGAAAGTACAGATGTAATTACACAAGCAGGCAATTAAAGATGGAGCATAACAAATCAGCAGCCCCGAGGCATTTACCAAGTCATTTGAGTGCTGTCACCCCAACTGAGTCATACCCACCTGCAAAAACCAAGGGCACATTCAGAAGAGTCTCAGCCAGGGAGCCTGTCCCCTAGAGCTGTGGGTTTGCTGATGCTCTTCTGGCATCAGCTGTATCTATGCTTATTTCTGTCGATGTTGAATACTATTTCCATGCTTTACTGGGCTTGACTGTCTGCTTGGTTATGTCCAGATCAACTGTGTGTGAAGCCAGTATACCTCAGCGGGTACGCTAGCTCCTATGCATTTACTAGTAGGGTGGGGTTTTTTATTTGTTAGTAACCCCAAATAATTAACTGCTATTATGTTGAGAGGACGGCCTGGCAATTATTCAAATTCAAGCATTAATTTCTGTGAGTAAAGGAGCCAAAGTACTGGCTGCCAATGTAGTGACTGTAAGTTTTAGTCTTGCCTGCACTTGTTATCATCAATACAGATGCTAAAAGAGAAACTGCTGACTGCAAACAAAGGGTAATGCTTTCCCTTTCCGCAGCCTCATCCCTACATATTTTTGAATGGTTTGTCTTCCCCCTCTCTGCAATTCCAACAAATGAGGTGAAAATGACCTGGGCACTACTCACTCTAGGGTCACCTGAGCCACAGCATCCATCGAACTGTATCCATTCTCCATGAAGATCTCCGTGTATCGGCCCATTTTGATGGCTTCCAGCCACTCACCCACCGACCTGTAGGCACCGCTCCCGACTGGACTGTGCTCTACCAACAGATTTGATACTCTAAAGACAAGTAAAAACAAAGCAGCAAACAGAATCAGTATCAAGATGTACCCAACGTGACTCAGTTCCTCACATTTTTATATGGTAAAGATGATTCTTCCATTGTGTTTTCAGTGATTGCTGCAGCCTAAATCCTCCCAGCAGGCCTGATAGGCAATGCATCAAACATACCACCTCACCTGTAATTTCACCACTTTTGAGTTAGTTCCTGCCATTTCTGGTCCTCACTGCAAGCAGAAAGAGGAGGAGAGGACTAGCATCCATCCCTGTTACCTCTCGCCCACAAGCAGGCTCCTCTTCTATCAGGCTCCCCCAGTCACTCTTACATTAAAGTCTTCAGTTTCACTCCTCCCACTCTGTTTTCCTCCTCCTCCTTTAAATCTCATAATTAACTTAAGACAGCCCAGAGCCTGGAAGCCAAAACCCAAATTACATTTCCCAGCAGTGGCCATCAATGGCAGGCTGCTGTTAACACTTCAGGGGCTGTTCCCGCAGAGTCAGGCGGGGATTTCGGATGCAGGCAGCATCTGATGAGCCCTGCAGAGAGCAGCAATGCTCCAACCATGCTCCAGCCCTGAAACAGAGGTAGACTCCTGCTCCCATACCCTCGCTCAAGACCTCGCCGCAGCCATTGCTACCTGCTCGTTATGCCACGCACGGAAGAAGCAATTCAGGCAAATAATAACTCTTCACCGCAGCAGAAACACCAATACAGTACCTGGCACAAGTGACCTGTGCTGCGTACAGGTCCACCACCCTACTAATGATGCGCAGAGAGCAAAGGGGGCTTGTCCAAGGTCAGCCAGAAAAGAAAGCGGATTTGTCCCCTGCTTTGTAAACCAGGACATACAGCTAGCATAAGCCTTGCATAAAGATTATTACCCACAGGTAAAAAAAAACACGTTTTCTGGGTCAGACTCTGACAGTGAGAATTACACTTAAAAGACTCTCAACTGGAAGGAGAGCTGGGGTATTATATTATTATAGGACTTCAGGAATCTTCATATATTTTATGAGCACATTAGTATTATTTGTTTATTTAATAGCAATGCTGAAGGGTCCAATAAAATGTGAATACTTGCAGTACCAAGAACATAATGGCTTCCCATAACATTTTATACACATGAGGAATTCAAAACTCCTAAGTAATCATAATGAGAAGTGGATTTTCATCACTAATGTCAGGAGGTACCTACTGGTATGCACATGCTGTAATGTAGAGAGTGACTTCCTCCTTTATTTGCATTAATGAGAATTTCCATAAAGAATACATTACATATATAAAAAAATCCTTTACAGCTGCTGTATGTTGAAATTATGATTCATATGGAATTACTATGGTCTGGGCATGGCAATCTGTGATTATAGAAACACAGTCCCAAAGCCTGGCTGTTCAGGTGCTCCATCCACATCAAAAATACCCACAGCAACTCTGAAAAGGAAAGGTTTGGAATTGCATGGACCTGTTCATGGAATAAAACATCAGCAAAGTGCTTAGCAGCTCAGAGAAATGGTTTGCTGCCTATTTTCCTCTCTTCTGGCATAACAGTTTGATATGTATGAAAGACTGCATGAACCACCGCATAACAGGCCTGGAAGATAACTGTTCTGAACTTAAAATAAAAGAGAAACGTTTTTTATGCTATCATAAACCTTTTCCTGCAGGTTTGCTGGGACTGACATTACATCTAATTGCTAATAAGAGTAATTTCTTCTTCAGATGATAAATGATGCATGTAAAATAGCCCAAGAAATCAGACCTATCTTGTATTTAGAAATTAACAGAGATTTCATGTTTCTTTTCTTCCAGTGCATGAGATGCCATGTGTGGGGACATGCCAGCAAGGGGATGTGAAGTCCAGCTACAACAGGTGAGATGGGCCACATGCAGCTGTGCCCAGAAGGTGCGGAGACGGATGGGTCTAAGCTCACAATAGCGCCTCTGCTTTGGTCCACACCACCAGTCTAATCTCATCTTACATTCCTGTGGCAGTACACCCCGCCCCCCCATCCCGCCAGCAGGAAACAAAACTTCTCCAGGAAGGGAGAAGGGGAAGGAAACCTTGGAGGCTGCAGGTTGAAATTTGAACTGGCCAACTGAGATGCGCCAGGTACACCGAGGTGACCCTCCTAGCCATTAGAATTAAATGACCACAGGTCAGATTCGACAAGGCTATTATAAACGGGGTCCCGCCAGAGGACACGCTGGAATCAGTCCTCCTCGGAGCAGCGGGTCTGCAGTCGGGGACTCCCCCTCGGGTCGGGGCATCGCCCGAGGTAACTCCTCGAGGGAGAGAGCCCTCAGCTTTTAGGGGAGTGATATGTGCGTTTTGAGCCATCACTTTAAATCTTGGGCATTCTTAAGTCGGCCGTGTAGTATTAATTCTCTTTACATCGTTGAGCCTGTGGTTTTATAAAATGTTACCGGACTTCTAACTAACTTTTGCTGAAGAATAAATCTGAGTTTTAACACCTGTTGGATTTGGTTAGTCGTGCATCCGTAACAATTCCTCTCATTCCTGTCCAAGGAAAACAATGTGTCTTTTTTAAATTCATCTAAGACTAAGCTTTTCTGAAGGGTCTCTTCCAGTGTTAATCAGGGGAAGTCCACTGCCACCAGTGAAGCAGCGATGATTTATATTCATCACTCCTTCATGACCTTGCAAGGAACCGAGTGATTAGCAACACAGATGGCTCAGAAATAATACTTGTGTGCTTAGAGTAAAAAAGAAAAAGCCTCTCCAAGACTGCAGTATGGTGGAGACCTCAATACTAAAACTCACTAAAAAATATTAAACTCTCTTTCCCCAAGTGCAGCTTTATTTCTTGAGTGTATTTACCTTACTTGTAGCAGTGTAGCTATTCAGATTCATGTTTAACTGCACATTGGCTGCTCTATTCACTTAATGTGGTTTTAGCCAATGGTTTGTGTACAGCTCTTTGGGAACCAGAGATCCTCCGGCTATTACCAAGATTGTCAGAACTGGCAGTGGCAGCTAGCATGTCTGGGAATAGTTGTGGGAGGATGCACTTGGACATCTGTGAGCTTTGCACTCCTAAGAGTTTCCCCCAAGAGACGCTCTTCATTTGTATTACCAAGATAAAGTCAACAGGCAGATAATTTGAGCAGCATTTACTATCTACTTCATGGACTCAAGTCTTGCCCTCTCTAACCTTGGGGTAGAGCAGAGGTAGCTTTATCATAGACTATAAATACCACTGAAACTCCCGTTTCTGAAAGACAGGCCACAGTAGTGTTCTTTGTGGCAGCAGCACTGCATTTACAGAGTAACTGAATTGCTCACCTGCCTGCCAATTTCAACAGAAAAAGTTGATTTGGGAAAACTCCCCTGGATATAATGAAGCTGGAGGAACATCCACCTGTGGGCATGCACAGGCTAAATAATAAGTGGTAATTCAACCCCAGGGGCAAGTATTCAGACAAAGATCTCGCTCTGAGAAATGGCTCTGGCCTGAGTTTGTACCTGCTCGATGCATTAACCAACGTCTTCAAGCTGCTTGGGTTACGGATGAGCTTGTCCAACATGCTGACAATTTCGTCAAACTTGGGCCTGCTGTTGCGGTCTTTCTGCCAGCAGTCGAGCATTAGCTGGTAGAGAGCAGCAGGGCAGTCCATGGGACTTGGCAGGCGATAGCCTTCCTCCACGGCTTTAATCACCTACGGGAGACAAAACACGAGGTTGATGGGTTGCTTTTTTCCTCTCGCCTTTTTCCCAAATGCAAATTGACTTAAACAGAGGACTTTTGGACCAGCTAAGTGTTCACGTAAAATCCCCCCCCACTCCGCACACAAGAAGCAAACCCAGTAAACCCCACTATCTTTCATATTTTCTATGGGATGGGTTGAATAACTTAATTTTTCATCACTGCAAAATGAATCTAGAAAGCCAAGGCACTGCTGCAACCAGGTGGCCAGATTGCCAGGTTGTACTTGTTCAAAGCTCAGCTGAGGTCTGTAGGTTATGTACTGGGAAACACCTAGAGCCTACCCTAAGTCCATGAAAAGCAGCCTATGGGGCTTTCTGGCATCTTCTTGGAGTGCAGTGATTTTGTTTATTCAGATGTTGGCTTCTTTTTAAATGAAAAGGCATGTGCTAGACCACAAATTTGTATTACAGTAATAAAAGTCTGACTGTATTTCAAAAGAGACTTTGAATGCTAATTGATGGATGGATTCAAGGCAGAGGCAGAACAACCATCTCGTATATCATTCAATACTGTCTGGGTCTAGTCGTTTCTTAGTGTGGCCACATTTCTGCCAGGAATTTAAAATGTCAGCCCAAGAGTATGTAAATTAAAACCAGGGGAGGGTTGTTGCACTGATTTCAAATACAAACCATCTATGGTTCTATATCTAAAACAGGTGATATGCACATGTGCTGCCTGCCCTCTCAAAAGGCAGAAATTAATAAAAGGGGGCAGAATTGAAGAAAGCGACTTGTTTTCCCCAGTTTGGGGCAGATTTACAGCAGGGCTCCAAGCCCAGCAGTTCCCATTTTGAACCATTACAATTTTCAGGAGAATGCAGCTCGTGTTTCAAGCCGCAAGGGTCTGTGACCACGCCAGGAGAGTCCCAGTGGCCCATCTTCACACCCTCTGCTCCCAAGACTCCTCGACCAAAAGGAGCTGGAAGCAGCTATTTGCTATGTGGAAAACCACAGCGCTTCACTGTTGGACTCGAAGGACTGCCTCAGATGCCATTCATTCTAGGCACCATCTCGTAATTTGAAAACATCCTGTGTTTAAAAAGAAGGGTCTGTGGTTAGCATGGAAGTTGTTGTCTTGATCTTTAGTCCCTTTACGAGCAGTACAGGAAGAGCTGTGTCAGGCTGGCATTGCATTTCAGAAGGTTCTGAAATTCAGGACCGTATGGTTCACTTTCAAATTGTCCTCCACAGGGCTTTTTGCCAAGTGGAATAGTCCCAGGAATGAGCTGGGCTGGCTGAGCAGCACTAGCAGGAACCTCAAACTCCCTAAAGACGTACATAGTAGAGAAGAAGTTAGGTAAGGCTGTGTAATCTTCTCTGAGGGTAGTGAGCACATCTGAAGATCCGGCCCACAGCACCTGCAGTCCTTTTGCACCCATCTAAGATTTCATCTGTCGGTGGAGCAGTTGCACCACTCTCTACCCAACCTGCGCTTGCAAAGCAATCTCTTCTATGGCCTGACTTTTGCTCGCAGCATCAAAAACCAGCCTCACCACACTATGCTATCTGCACTGTCTGTTCTTTGCATCATGCTTTTCAGCTGGTCCCCGATACCAAATTTGCAGCTGCCCTATAAAAAAAGCCTCAGCGTGGCACAGCCACGAGAATGTTATTTGCCGTGTCCGCATCTATATTTATAACAATAACGGATCATCCTCCAGCTGTAGCAGAAAGAAAATAGTAGCAAGACAGGGAGCAGACCATCTGGCACCAGCTCAGAATATCAGAACTACATCTGCAATGGGGTTATGCATGTTTGATATTCCTGGCAGCAACATCACAATCAATAGCGTTAACTCAATTTACGGGATGTCGTTCATTCTGGCGATACGATGTAAATGGTATCAAAATACTGCGAGAAGCTAGACGCCGAAATACACTCTTGCATCTGAAGGTGCTTTGGGGTCTGGCAATAAGAGGAGCAAAAGAATGAAACAGCAAAGATCGCGTCACTTGTAGCCACCACAACACTTAGAAAATAAGAAAATGGCACATCGCCATTCCACTCATTGGTGCGTACTGCTTTGTAAGACTTGAAGAGCTAAAATTTGCACCTATAAGGAGGCATTTTTGTCCCTGTTCCTCTTCTGGACAAGCACTACTCACGGATTGAGGTGACTGAACTGCATGTTTGAGAGAGGACGATTTGGGATGGTCTATTCCACTAAACCAAAGCAACACTTTTAGCTCTGTGTTTTCATAAAACCACCAGTCTGAAGGCTAAAAAGCAACCACTGTGATCATTTAGCTTAGCAACCTGTGTAACACAGGCCACAAAATTCCTCTCAACAATTCCTGCATCAGTCTTATCTTGTGGTCGAGTCAAAGCATATTTTTAGAAGGCCATCCAGAAACCAGCATGACTTTAAAATGTGGTTTGTAGCCTTTGCAGTTACAGTGCTGCCTGCCCTACGGCACTGCACCTCCTTTAAAGCCATCCATCTGTAACATGGTGAGAATCGTTTTGCTCATCACCAACCATGCTTGCAAATGATGTGCTTTAATTACAAGCCATGCAACAAGAAACTCTTGTGCAACGGAGTCCAATTCATGTGGGCAGAGCCCCCTGGTCCTCCGCATGAAAGCCAACACTCTCTAACACCACTGATTCTTCTGCCAGCACAAGCAGGGGAGGAAAGAGGAAGAGGAGGCCTTCAGAAGGTGAAGGAGGAAGGCATAAATCGCATGAGAAACATGCCACTGCACTCAACTAAGTTTCCTAGGCCACCACCACCCAGGCACTTGCCACCTGCACATAGACAGAGAGTTAACCCAAACAAAGCCTGAGCAGGAACCAATGGTCATAAACATCTCACCAGTCCTCTGCTTTCTGCTGCTAAAGAAATCAGTCCCCTATCTGCTTCTTCTCAGGCAAGTGTGAAATTCATCCTGTGACCCACAGTGCATGGAGGCATTTGGGCTTTTTGGAACAGTTGTGCAAAGTGTGGATGTTCATAGTGTTACGATCCAGACAAGGGACTCCCCCTGGCCACAGAGCATTATTTCACTGGCACCAGCCTGAATCTTAAGTCTGGCGTTTACTGAACAACATCTGTGCTATGCTGGTGAATCAGCATTAAAGATAGTTACAGTGCTCAGTGTGACTGAAAAAGCTTGGCTCTCAATTGCTGCATTCTCTGCACAGGCTATAGAAGAAAGTCTCTGTATTTGATTGAGATAAATCCCTGCGTAGATACATGCTGTTTTACCAAACTCCCGGCAAACGTGACAGCCTCAGCCGCAGAAGCGGTGGGCATTCATGCTAAACAACGCGCTCATCTCCCTGGCAAGAAGCATGGCATGACCGTCTCAAAGGTACCGCTCGTTTCCACGCCTGGACTCGAAGCGAGATGAGACAGCAGCTCAGTGTGACAGGTAGTAACATCCACTGATGGCAAAGGCCCGCAGACAAAACACAGGAGAAACAGACTGCTCAGCCAGAGCCTTTGCTGCCAGCAAAACGGCAGAAAGTCACAGGGACAGGGACGCTGCTCAAAAAAAGAAAAAAAGGATGAAACATCAGGTATTGTGACCCACAGCGGAGCAAGGACTTGCTTGCTTTGACCAGCCGGCAGCATCATCTCCGCAGGCAGCAGGGCTGCAGAGGTGAAGTGGGAAGGATGAGGAATGACTCCGTTTGCCACACGCAGAGTGGTGCTTTTCCCCTCCCATTGCAGAGCTGCTTTGGGGGCCCCGCATGCCTCATGGTGACCCTGACCTCATGTACTAGCTGGCATCCTCAGAGACCTCCACACAACGTGGTTTGCAGAGATGTGAAGAGGAAGGAGAAGCCTAGAAAATCTAGCAAACCCAGGCTTAAATTCTTTTAGCCATAGACAAGGACAGATGTTTATGGTGAGCTCAGGGTAGAAGGTAGCCCTGCAGTAGGATCAAGAGATCCTTACACAGGCTGGGATCAGAGCTGCAGTCAGAAGGGAGACAGTATCCCCAGGCATCTCCCTGTTTGGAGATGCTTCAGAGGGTGGCCTTGAGGTCAGAGGGTCAAGGGGGACTGGGGTCCAGGAGCAAGGGGACACAACTTGTACAGTGCTGTACAAATGAACCATGAGAGCTTGCATTAGCACAGACTTGCAAGATGTTCACAACAGGAGCAGAACTATGCTCTCGAGATCAGCAACGCGAGGGCAACCGAGACACAGCTCTCTGGACTGCCATCAATAGATCAAATCACCCAGCTTTTGTGCAGGGAAATAAAGCCCTTACCATGACTCTCTTGAGCTTCTGCTTTACATGGCAGCAGGGGTTTGGACACACAATTGAAATGCTGCCAGTTTATCAGCATCTATCCCCTAGCAGACCTTTGTCATTAAGCAGAGGAGGGACAGGCTCCAGCTCTAACAGCATTAGTGAAGCTCCAGCGGTCTGCTGGGGGAAGCAGGCTTGTCTCTGTGTAGACACATTTCCCTCTGCGCACAGCCTGTTCTGGGCTGCTGCTGCTGCTGCAAAAAAAGCATCAAACGGGAGGATCATTTTTGTCTGGCATGGGAGAGCAAAGCCATTTTTACAGCAGCTCTCCTGTCCCCATCCTGCCTCTCTGATTGCAGAATGAATGCCGAGCCCTCAAAGTCCCATCACGCGGCAGCTCTCGCACGTGCTTACATCTTGGTTTGTCATCTCCCAGTAAGGCCTCTCGCCGTAGGACATCACCTCCCACATCACGATGCCGTAGCTCCAGACATCGCTGGCCGATGTGAATTTACGGAAGGCGATTGCTTCAGGTGCTGTCCATCGGATGGGGATCTTCCCTCCCTAGAAGGAAAAGGAAAAAAACCCTCAAAAAGCAGATTGCAGAGGAGGGCAGAGAACATGCAAAAGAGGACAAAACAGCACTTCTTAGAGCACTAAGGGATGTTATTTTCTCTCTGGAAAGAGACATCGAATTTTAAAGTAAATCTGTTTGACAGCATGGGGCCCCTTTCCACATTATCTCAGCCCATAAGCATTTGTAGGCTGCCTACTAATTGGCTGTCCTGAAGGTTTGTTGTTTGAATGCTGTTTGAATGCTGGGACATGTATAGGATCAACATCTCAATTATGTTGCACGGGTTGGTAGGGGAATACAGTTCCTCCATTTCCGAGAGCAAGCAGGGGAGGAACAGACAGCTCTGAAGCTGAGGAAGACTTTGATCTAACGAGGGCTTCATGCAAATTGCTGCGGAAGTAATGCCCTTTTTTCTTTCTTTTTTTTTTTTTTTTTAATGCAGTCCTGATTGTGCAGAGATCTGCGTAGCAGGCACAGAAATCTGTGTGTGCAAAGACCAGCCTACTTGGCCTCTGCTGTGGGACTGAAAATGATGCTACAGCTGTCAAATGTGCTTTGCTGTTTCCTTTTCCCCTTTCTACCATTTTAGAAATCAAACTTCAGACCAGCTCTGAGAAGGAAGGGGGGAGGGAAAGGAGAGTTCGGATTAAGGAATACTTTTCTCATTGGGTTTAAAGAGCTGTCTCCCTTGATTTATATCAAAATATATTTTACTGTGAAGTCCCTTCCTCCCAGTGTTGAGCTAAATATTGGAAAGTCTCCCTGAATGCCCCCTAACAGTGTTTGTAATTGGAAAAAGGTAGAATTTGGAACACATCTTCAAAGCAAATTTTTAAAAGTCCCTTCTTCCAGTAATTATTTATTCACAGGCTTATCAGCGCATGCCTTAAGTGAGGGGCCAGATTCTCAGCAGAGCCAATTAGCACATGGCAGCACGTTGCAGCCGCAGCAGGGCTGGCTGAGAGCCCTCCACCTTGCAGGGAGGCTCTGGTCCAGCCGTGCGCTGAGTCCCGTCGCGGGGTCTGTGACTGCCAGGAGCTGAAAGGCCTTTCCCAGATCTCCACGGGAACTGGGAACGTGGCCCAAAGAGCTCCCACCACCCGTAAAACAATACCCTTGGAAAAACATGCTAACAGGACATGTCCAAGAGTGCCAATCACTGCCATGAATATTGGAGGCTCTCTCCAAGCCTGTGCTGCTGAGGATGGGTCCTGTCCACACCCTCTCTGCAGTGCTGGGGCCACGTGGCCTTGCACTGGGATGGGTAGGCTGATGCCCTGAAAGGATGGATCAAGCATGGAAAGGCACAGAGCACTGAGGCTGGAGACACTCTTTCTCAGGTTGGGGGAAATCACCTTCAACAGGGTAACGTTGAGGGCAATGTGCATCATTTGCAATGGGCATTACATGCTTACCAATGTTTTAAAAGGGTCAAATTGTCCAGAAGACCATATCTTACATCTCTGCATGGGTGCCTAAGCAAAGCACTAGCTCTTGTTCTTTCTTCCCTTTGGTATTCACCAAAGAGGACAGAATAGAGCTGGAAGGGCAGCACCTTTGCAAATTTTGCTATTTGACTCAGGTGCCCAACATGAACTTAAAAGTTATTAGTTAAGTTCTGCCTTATTTGGCCATCCCCACTACAAAGTTACAGGCATTTACAAAATTAATCTGATAATAATTAACTGGTAACACCTGGCCAAATGCTCGTGCACAGCTTAGAGGCTCTGGATTTGTAGAAACCTCTTTGCTAGAGAGCCTGAATGCCAAAATGTGGCAGGGAATACATTTTTCTTGAGGTCATCCGTTCAGTATCGTCATAACTCACCCTGGTTGTGTACGCTGCTTCGGGGTCATCTTCCAGGACTCTGGAGAGGCCGAAGTCTGACACCTTGCAGACTAAGTTGCTGTTGATTAGGATATTTCTGGCGGCCAGATCTCTGTGTACGTAACCCATGTCAGACAGGTACTTCATTCCTGATGCGATGCCTCGCAGCATCCCGACCAGCTGAATGACTGTGAACTGCCCATCGTTCTTCTGCAAAAGGAAGGAGACATTTGATCAGCTGAGAGTCTCCGCACCCTCAGCATTGTGTGTGCATGTGTAAAAATGCAAAGGCAAGTCTCCAAGGAAGAAAAACAGGGAAATTAATAATTCATTACTCTCATGCTCTGACCATGAAGCTTTTCAAAGTTTCACTGTTTGGATTAGGATCTCTAGAGACAAACCTAAGGAAATGTAGTTCTCTTCACTGGAGATCAAGGAGAGAGCTATGTCCCCTGGTGACTGATAAAGAGACCGCAACTGGGAGTGAACACATGTAGTTATGTGTATAAAGGCACCAGGGTGGGCTGTCTCCTAGTCAGCCAACTGAATGGCACCAGGTTGCACAGAGATCCTACCTGCAGAGGTCTACATGTGAATATCTGGGGTTAGGAGGTCTTCCCCACGTTGCCACACTGCATTTCTAACCACTTCCCCTATCCTCCCTTCTCTAGCTCTTACATTTCATGGAAAAACTCTGACATGTCTGGGGTTTGCCATGATACAGTATGGATGTGCTCTTGAAACACATCAAATTTTGGAGGATAAGTTAATCATTTCCACGCAGCAGACTGCCTTCTAAAATAAACATAATATCCTCCAATTTATTCTTTTTTGTTTGTATCAATGCACAAACCAGGTCCTTCATGATGCTGTATAAATATAGATCAAACAGACAACTGAGCTACTCCTGCCTCCAGACAGCATCAACAGCTGGACCAGCACCCAGCAAACATTTTCATTGATATTAACCATTTACAAAGAACCCAAACTTTAACCAATGTACCCCTGGAAAAAGGATCTAAGTACTACCTTTAAAAATGTATCCAGAGAACCATTCTCCATGTATTCAGTCACTATCATTACTGGTTTGCCTGGGAAAAAAAGCACAAGAGTTTGTTAGCAATTTATTTTAAAAAAAGTGAACAATAATAAAGTCTTTTCATAATGCATCTGAATGTGAATATACAGCCATGCCACAGTAAATCTACACGGACACACTGCTGTCCCAGCAGGATGACATTAGTTTTTGCCAGAATATATGTAGAAATAGGGGAATCGAGGAGGAGGGGATGAAAAAGTAATCCCTTATTATGGGTGGGGTACCAAGCCTTGGAGTGTTTAGATTATGTTTGAGGAAGACGTTGCAAGCTGAAACCAGGCAACCTATGCACAACCTTCTTCTCATCTCCGTGAACAAGCTGAAAGCTTGCAGAGGCCAAATTGCACACAACGACCTCTTTGGACTCTTCCCTATAGCTTCAACACCCTGAAGTAAGAACAGGAGCCCAACAGGAGCAGCCAGGATGATCTGAAGTACCTATCTGACCTCAGTAGCCACCAAAACCAAGACCAGGAAAGGATGGGATTACATCCCTTGTAATTCAAGTAATCCCATGTGACTACCCTTGTAAACACATCTGAAAGTAAGAAAAGGAATATTTACGCTGCAGAACAAAAGTGAGTTCAGTATGGAAGGAGTGCAAGTGGAAATCAAAATAAAAGTTCGTAACAAAAGACCTGGTCTCCTATTGTTGACAGGAATAATAATGTTTTTCCAAATCCATTTGATTAATTTTCATGCCCGAGTCATTTTAATGGTAATTATATATAGTTTTTGCTCAGTTTTTATATCTAATTTCTCGCTAGCTTGCCACAATGACATAGCAATAATTAATGTGGTGTGCTCCAGCCCTTGTAAATTCAATGAAATCTTATAAGAACATGTAAATTATTTTTTATTTAAATCAATTTCCATTAGCTAGCATGAAGCACAGACAAAAGAGCTGTCAATTATTTGTAAAGTGCATTATAAATGTCTTTCATAGAATGATCAACGAGAGCTGCCACGTGTCATAACATGTGCATGAAGGTAAATGCTCCTAAAGATCAGTGCATGTTCTACCATTTAAATTGATCTTAATCTTCCTACTTTCCTGTTACCTTAACTATTTGCCTAATTTACTGCTTAATTATCTACATAATAAAGATAATTGTGAACTTGTCAATCAAAACACTCATTGTTGTGCAGATACTATCTTTACAGCATGAGGGACCTGTGCTGCTTCAGTTCTGCTTGCCAAAATTATTACTTTTGATATGAGAAATGCACCTTGGGGCCATGAAAAATATCATTGAGTCCCAAACAAAATAATGGGCCCCATCTTCAAGGACAGCCGTCTGTCTACACACAACATGGGCTGCGTGCAGGAGGGAGGGGAGATCTCAGGTGATGTTGCTATAGGTTGGCAAACACGTCAGTGGCTACGCAGGGAAGGAAAATCCCAGATATATCTCATTTTTAAAAAAATTTTTGGTTTTTAAACACTAAACCCCCAACTATAGCATTGGGTCCCTTATCTCTGGCACTTCAAGACAGCATTGCAGCAAGACTGGCATCTCATTATGCCACCACCCTGGAGGACCTCCTTCAGACTCCTGCCTTTGGTTGCCATCAGAGAAAAGAAAGTAAGATTTCTGGCACTTATGTTTCATTACTTGGACTGCTGCAGGTTGACAGTAATCGTGGAATAAATTAGCCCCAAATCCAAGAGCATGGAAATAAAGACACAAATAGAGTAACTTTCAACAAAGTTGTTGTGGTTTACCCCCCGCCAGCAACTAAGCACCATGCAGCTACTCACTCACTCCCTCACCACCCAGTGGGATGGGAGAGAGAATCAGAAGGAAAAAGGTAAAACACATGGGTTGAGATAAGAACAGTTTAAAAGAACAGAAAGGAAGAGACTAATAATGATAATAATAACAACAATAATAAAATGACAATAATAATAAAAGGATTGGAATATACAAAACAAGTGATGCACAATGCAATCGCTCACCACTCCCCAACCAATGCCCAGTTAGTTTCTGAGCTGTGATCCCTCCCAGCCCCACTCCCCCCAGTTTATATACTGGGCATGACATCACATGGTCTGGAATACCCCTTTGGCCAGTTTGGGTCAGGTGCCCTGGCCGTGTCCTGTGCCAACTTCTTGTGCCCCTCCAGCCTTCTTGCTGGCTGGGCATGAGAAGCTGAAAAATCCTTGACTTTAGACAAAACATTACTTGGCATCAACCGAAAACATCAGTGTGTTACCAACATTATTCTCATACTGAATCCAAGACATAGTGCTATAGCAGCTACTAAAAAGAAAATTAACTCTATCCCAGCCAAAACCAGGACAAAAATAAATTAAAAGTAAACATTAGCCCTTCTAAAGCACTGGGTTGATTCTCTGTGTCAGCAGGGCTCCCTCCCGCTGGCATTACAGGGCTACAAAATGTGTGTAGATGTCATTCATATCAATGTACTAAATGCAACGTGCACACCATCAGCGCAACCAAACGGGTTGTGAAAGAAAACAGGACTGTCATTACCTTTGTAAAGCAGAAATAGCTAAGGGCTTGTCTGCACGGGGACAGTGAAGACGATTAATCCAAATTAACTAAGGTGTGCATTTGAACTAGATTAGTTAAATGGTATTAAGCCCCTGCGCGGATGGTCTCATTCAGAATTAAAAATGGCCTAATTCAATTTAACTTAATTTACTTCCAAAGCAAATCATGATGCAGCAAAGACATTTTACCTTAAAGGTCTGAATCTACGATAGGCTGATGACTAAAACACTGAAGAGAAAAAGAAGTTAAATAATACTTTGAGATAGCAGCATAGTTTGGGAATCATAAAGGTTGTTTTGGTCCATTTAAAAGAAAAGAAAAAAGCTGGGAAGATGCTCTAGATGCCTGATGGAAAAAATTTTGAGTGTGCTAAACAAGCATTTACTGAGCTAATGAAGAGCTCACAATGCACGTACCCCCCTGCATCCAAACTCCAGTTGCTCCAAGTCCAATTTAGAAGCAAAACTCCCAGCTTTTCCGTGGCCTTTGGAGCAGGTGGCCACTCTACATAAAAGGCAGCTCGCTAGGGAGGCACATCCTCTCTAAAAGTGGGATTCCCACCCATCCCGAGGCCCCAGCAGCCAGAAAGACTCAAGCCCGCATCAGCTTTTATGGATGTATAATCATCACTCGCTTCCTGCCCAATATCCCACATCCCTGCAGGGCTAGAAATGGGAGCTTTTATGTATTAAGGGCTACACAAGGTGACTCCGAGAGATTTTGGTATCTATTCATTTGGGGGGAGAAACCTATCTTGGTTATTTTTTTTCTTTTCTTAAAAGTTTTAGGAAATGCAATTTCAAGGAAAAATGCAAGAAAAGGCTGTTGATTCCAAAATAGCATTGATTTTGAGTAGGTTATAAGGATACAAACAGAACAGCTAGCGTCTCTGTACCTTCTCTGCTGCAGCTCTGAAAAAGAACTGATTTTGGAGACACTGCCCCTGATGAATGACAAATGGTACTAACAGCAGCCACGTAGCCCCAAACACCAGCATTTGAATGGCAGTAGCTAAGCTCTGACATTGCCAATCACAAAGACAAGAGGGGAGACAGCCATTCGGCTGGTACTTCTTCAGCTAGCAGAAACTTCCTGAAACACTTAAAAATATATCTTAAAATAAAGGAGTAGCTGTTTTCAACAAAAAAAATCCTTGGTGCGAATAATGTAGATCCTCCAAGGCTTTTAAATGGAAGAGTAACAACACCTCTGCACCTTTCCCACAGCCTCAGCACAGCACCAACAGCTGCAGAGGTTTGAGCTGGGCACATTCGGATGTGCCTTCCCTTCCTCTGCCCTTATCTTTAGTGCATACAGAAATTTGGACAAGAACTGGGCTGGGAAAGTTATGGAAGGTTATTTTGCTAACTGAGGAGTCAGACCTCGGTAACTCTCATGCTGTGATGTTTTGCCAGCCATTTCACATTTTCCCCAAGCCCTCAACCCCTCTCATAATCTATATGCCAGCACCAGGGGCAACTATTACCACGGACATCACTAGCAGATCCCAGGGGGAGCTTGCCCTAATCGTGGTTTTACACAGTCCTGTCATCTTCAGCTACACTCCCGTTCTTCTTCCCTGCTTCTGGAAAGCAAAACTTCAGCTAACTTCTGTCCTTGCTCACATCCTGTGTAAATGATCACAAGGCTCAGCACTACCCTCCTGTGGGCTTTGCTTCAGTGGTTTCTCAAAATATGATGGCTGGAAATCATCAGGGGTTGTGTTTTGGGGTATTTTTTTTCCCCAGACTCTTGTTAGCAAAATCTTCCCTGTTTCCCTGCCAGGGCAATTGCTTCCCATTTCTTGGAACATCTTTGCTTACCCTGGGGCTCATGCGGTTTCAAAAGTAAACAAATAAAGGCAGGAATAAGAAGTGAGTTTGCTCGAAAAACTTAGCGGGTGGCTCGGCATCACTGTGCTCAAAATGCTCTTGCATTTTGCAGGCGGTAAGTGCTGCTGAACTACTTGCAAGGCAGAAGTCAGGCAGCACACTCCACCGGCATTCAGACATCCCAGGCTTACCACCATCTACATCACCCACCCACTGCCTGAGGCTGGCCAGGCATATCATCTCCTATTTCTGTATCATTTAATTTGGGGCCTTTGAAGAGGGGTTTTCTCTTAGCCCATGCATATTATGCCTAGGTGAGGCAAGGTTTGCAGGGGGAGTGAAATGTTTTTTATAATTTTAGCCATTATCTGTCCATTCTAGCTGGAAGAACGCTGAAATCCTTCAGGCACAAACCCGCTTTACAACGTTAAGGAACCTGTTCCTGGCTGGACCTACGATGTGTGACACTTTGGGCAAGGGAAGTTCACTGGTTTTTGAGAACTTATGAAAGGTGCAGTCAAAATGTGAATTACCCAGGTCTTCTGCCTCTAACCAACTCTTCCATCAGCCAGAGTTCAAGGACAGCAGTCCACAGCAAATTGTACCTACTCTTTGTGACGACGCCTTCTAGGTGGATGATGTTGGGGTGGTCGAACTGCCCCATGATGCTTGCTTCTCCCAAGAAATCTCGCCTCTGTTTCTCTGTGTAGCCCACCTTCAGGGTTTTGATAGCCACTGGAAACTCACGCTTTCCCTGCAGCTTCAGCCGTCCGCTGCAGACTTCCCCAAATTCACCTTCAGAGAAAAATCAGAATGAATGGGATCATGGCACATCGAAGGAATGCACAGTGCTCATCCATCTACAGCATGCAACCCAGCCCCTATGGATAGCTGATCAAAAGCACGCAGGGCTGTCCCGCACTCATGGATATGGAAAGCTGAACATCACAGTGATTGCCACCTCAAATAGCTGGCATACCGCAAGCAAAGTAATTCATAAGCACAAGAAAACTAGAAAGAACAGTATAATTCTCCTATATTTAAAGAGTTATGCTCTATATTCCGTTGGGCTTTTTCCTCATTTCATGTTTTTGTCTACTAGATGAAAGAGTCCTGTCACATCCTATATCACTGCCCTGTGTAGATAGCTGTAAAACACAAGCCACTCGCTTCTTAACCTTCCTTTGGTAAGTTAAATAGATGGAATGCTGTTAGCCTTTCACAGCAACATATATTTTTATAGACTATAAACCCTTTCCAATTTTATGACCACCTTTTTTAAAAAGTAACCCAAATGGATTTTTTTTTCTTTTTTTCTGGTGAACAGTAAATTACCTCCAAAAACACAATTTCAGAGGATAGAAAATATCCCTAAGGTTGGATGCTACTCCAAACAAACAGCTTAACTGGAAAGAAAATGGGAGTTTCTTCTCTTAACCAAGGATGTTAAAAGCTTTGGACTTCGGTTTGTGGGTTTTTTTTCTCTCCCAGATGACTTCTTATTCTTAATTTTTGCTTCAAGACTGACCTTAATGGGGGAGGAGAAAAAGGTTAAAATGGTGAAAAGAAGCTGAAAATTTAAGTGACTCATTACCCCTAGCATCCATTGAAATAACTCAGCTTGGCCCAAACGTGACCATTTTCTGCCATTTTTAGTTCAGTCCCTGAATTTCAAAACCACAGACAATGACAGGTTTGTCCCAAACTTCATCTGGAATGTTCTCCCCATCACGTGCAGGGTATATTTTACAGCCCTTCTCAGATCTCTCGTGTTAAGAAAGCCAATCCTCCATGCTGCTAAGGGTGATGAAATGCATTTCCATACCAGCTCCAATAACTCTTTCAATGGTTATGCACGAAGCTTCAATTTCCTTAGCAAACTCATGGACGGCTTGATTAGGGTCCTCGTAGGTGTGGGGGTCAATGTAGGTCCTCACTCCAGGCAGCTTAACTGCAAACACAAATTAAGAGCGTTAATGGCACATGGCATGACAGAAAACGGGCAATACACACTCCTGTCCCTTGTACTCTGCTTTGCTGGAAAACATTGTAGCAGGGAAACCTATTTCTACAGGAAAAATGAATAGTATTCTTGGAAAATGACATTTAGTTTATATGTGAGGTGCAATTTCATCATATTTAGAAAAGCACATGACAGCGCTCAGCTGGAATGATGTACAGCTAAAAATCCCTCTCTGCGCTGCGTAACAGGCTGGTCTGGGGTCTGGTGCAAAAGGATCCCTTTCTGGGTCTGGAAAGCGTACGCCAGGAGGAAAAGTACAAAAAGCAAAATGTTAAGGGAACAACTTGCAAAGCAAGTTCGATGGGTGGGGGTTGATGGAGAGCTGCAATAAATTATGCCCTACCAGTCACATATTAGCTAATCAATTGGCCACATTATTTCAGATGGAGTTACTGAGATTTAAATGAACTGAATATTTGCAGTACAAAGCCTGTGGGTTGTACCAGTATAAATATAATCAATAGCAGGCTTTTTCTCCAGGACTTGAGAAGGGAAAAAGTATTTTCATTATCCGTATTATAAGTTTGTTTTGACAATCATTAAGGCTACTCACATGAAGAACTGCTCATCAGTCTAATAAGACAGCTACATTACACTGTGGCTCTTAATTGATTTGCTTCCTGCTGCCTTCATTACATAGCACTAATGGAAATTTGACTTTCACTCAAGATGCGTTTGCCTTTTCCACCCCAAAAGGCACCTCGCTGTTACCCATCCCCAGATCCCACAGCACTTGATGAAGGCAAGCTTTTCAAACACTGGCTTTAGATGTATGGAAGGACTGATAATAACCATGAGATGCACTTTCTAGCATCACTGCAGGGTTTTTTTGATATATAAGACATTAACACAGCATTTCTGAAAGCTTCCTAGGAGGAAGAAGTAGGCGTTACTCCTCACGCCTCTGCAAAGGCATCCAAGGCAAAGAGTAGCTGTGGGCTTGGTCCTCACAGTTGGCTGGGGTGGAGCAAGGGTTTCAAACAGGTATTCTGGACTGACACGTCCAGACCACGAAAATGTAGAGGTGTTATGTGCCAACGAGGCAAAATTAATAGCACCTTGGGTCACACAGCAAAGAGAGGAACAGAACAAAATGGCTCGCTAGAAAGATCTGCTGCAAACATACAGGTGTGAATAGCTGGGCACACATAAGGACTGTTCAAATGTTCAGCTCTCTATGGGGCTTGGAGCAGGGGCAGGTGGGGACTTACTGAATAACAGAACAAACAGTTCTTTTGTGAATTACCACCAAAACCAGAATTTATTTTTTTTTTAAACCCTCTCTCAGTTGTATTTCTCTTTACCACAGACAGCCAAAACCACATATATACGTTTGGTCTTTACTCACTGTGGCCATTATGAAAATGCATCTTTTCTTCTTCTGGATCTTGTTTAGCCTTGCTATAGCCACATCGCCTGGAAAAAAACCCAGAAGAGTGTTTTTGTCTCTGGTATGGCAGAACCCCTCTCTTTACTTCAAATCACACAAAGCACAAAAACCCAGAGCAGCAACGAGTCCAACCTCTCTAGTGGCTGTACTGCTGCTGTCCCAGTTTTAGCTCATCAAACTACTTGCAATTTCCCTAACGGGATTCAGGGCCCAAGGCCCACTGACTTTCAATTGGACTTGTGTTTCCAAATCCCACAGATGCTTCTGAACAATTCCACTCTACCATACATCTAATTCAGCTATTATTAAGAACAAGAAAAAAGCAAGAACAGGAAGGATGATGGAAGGGGAATGGGATGAAACGTTCGAATCGCAGAAGCAAGATCTCCTGGACTGCAGAGCTTTTGCAGGCACCATGTTGTATGTATTGCATGCTCCCCTTCACCCACTGGGCATTTGCGCAGAAGTTTAAATTTTGATACTTTAGAAAACAGCCTTGTGTAAACATTAACACCTTATACACATGCAAAATAATGGCTTAAAAAAAAGCCCAAACGTGTTGCCTCACTGCCTTCAAGGGTCTCCTATGTACTCCTGGCTCTGATGGGGTTTCCTGCACATCTCCTGTCTTTACGCAGGTGAGCTACCGTTCATGCAATCCCCTCTGCCCAGCAGCAATAAAGACGGAAGAAGGCATGCAGTCACTGCCTGACCTATCTCGCTCCCACATTAGCACCAGGCAGTGCAAGGATGCTGCTGCATCCTACCATGGAGTTGCAACCACAGCCATGTGGGAGTCACATCTCCCCCGGGGCATCCTTCTATTAGTCTTTGTCTGCTCTTCCCTGACTTGTCCCACACTCTTCTCGCTGTTTCTCTAGGCAATGTTATTGCATTAGCATTAACTGGCTGCTTTGGTGGCATTTCTGAGACCTGCTTCACTCAGACAACCACGTAGGAAGCCACAGGGTAACTGCATAGGCAAGGAGAACTGCTATATACACATATATATATACACTTAAAAATACAGGATGACATACGTATGGTGCACATATATGTGGCAGTGTTTCCAAGGACCTGAAGTAACTGGGTACAGGAACTAGATCATTCTTAAAGCCAACTACATGGACATGAGACAGAGGCACACTGCTTGGTAGAGTGAAAAACCTGCAACAGACACCTGCAAGCCAGCCAGCATGCAGCAGGATCACTAGCTGGCACACCTCAAATAAAGCCTCAGGTTACCAAGAAGCCGCTTAAAGCTGAGAAACTTGGAGTCTTCTCTTCCATTGCCCATGATTTTTGAGACAGGGGGATGCAAGAACTCCAGCATCATTCGCAGCAAGGAGGAGCACACGATTAGCAGAAACAAAACTGTAATTAGGAGGAGGCAGTAATAGGCATCTGCATGAAACATGCCCTCAGCGTGAAGTCCTATTACAGGGAACTGCTGCCTGCCTGGATGCAAGGGGCCAAGCAGCCTTTCGGCTATAGGATTTTGGCACCGGATTTGTGAAACGATCACTATTACAAACAAAAGCCCCAACACGATGGGACGCATGCACTGCCGCTGAGCTGGCCCCAGCAGAGCTGGACACTGGAGGGTCGAGGAGGGGAAAAGCAACATGAGCTCCTGGGGTTACTCCAGGGAAGGGGAGCAGGCACACAAGCTTACCTCAGGGAGAAAGGGAGACCTGTGCAAAGGGGAGAGGAGGAAAAAACAGACTGCAAAGGTTGTGCAAGCACAGAGGAATGGATTGAGACAAAGTGCAGAAGACAAGGGGGGAGGATGACAGGCGGTCTGGGGACACAGGCAGCGAGATAAATGGGTTGCCATTGATAAACAGCCAGACTATCCACGCAGGGTGCAATTTCAGCAGCAGCGAACAAGCTGAGACCATCACGCTCCAAATGCAAAACCCACGAGAGCGGCAACAAGGTGCCTGGAGACACGGCTCAGTTATCCGCATGTTGGTGCTCGTTGCCTTGCTCTAGCAGCAGCAGTGCCATTTCCTGAGATGGGGTCCTGCCTAATTAACTAAAAAACTAAGCACTAGGTGTACGCGGAGACCCTGGGAGTAAGGGTCATTTCAAAGTGTGTTTTGGTATTCACGATCCCTGGGTGAAAATGGATTCTTCTCCTTCTTCATCACACTGCCTCCCCGTTTAAGTACATAAACTAGAGATAAGAGTATCAGTATCAATTCCCACTTCTGGCAGCCCCAAATTTTTCTGCGGCAAGTTGCCAAAAGTTACATCAGTTTTCTGCAGAAGTAATTTTCTGGATTGAGGTGTATAACTCAATTTTCCTCTTAAAAATACACAAATGTCTCAATCTTTCTACCAAATGCACATATACACAATTTCTTCTGTTCATCTTTTAGAGCAAATGCCTTAATCTCTTCCTCAGGTTTGGAGTACTTCACCTATAAATAGGCTTTTCTAACATTATCCTTTTTAATACCTCCATCTCCTGATTCTTTGACCATAAAGAGGGAGGAGACAGAAACGGGGAACATGCCATCGCTTGTGTCCAGTGATCCAAGTACACCTTGATGCACAGTGGTCCATGTTTTACTGCCCAGGGACACACTCAAAGGGCCAATGCAAACCAGTTGGCTCCAGCTGTCCCCCTCTCTCAAGCTAGGTAACACATACAGCAGCATGTCACATTAGCATACAAAATCAGGCTCTGGGACCCCCAAAGCATCGTTAAAACAAGCCTTGACAAGACACATGAAAGTGAAATGGCAGCTAGTGGACTGCGACTGTCAAGCAACAGTTGGGCATCAGTAACAAAGCTTGCAGCAAAACCTGCCTGTTGCAACCACTTGTGTCCTTCGCATGCTCACTTTCTTAAACTATCCAGAGAAACAAGCCATGTACGTGCTGACTGGGGCTAAACCGAAATTCTTCCCTTCTTGACCTTCAGATGCTTTAAGTAACACACACAAGCATTTTATTCTCCTTTCTTCCCCAGCTAAATCCCATAAAAATCTGCTATTTCACATTAACATTCCTGATTCACTCTGTGACTCTTACTGGCAGAAAAAAGTATCTAAATATTATGGCTTTGTAATATATTTAGGGGGAAGAAAAAGCTCCCACTTATTTGTGAAATAATCTATTTCTGCACATGCATTTGCTCTTAATATTTATTGGAAAAGCTGCGAGTCAAAAGCCTCCTGATGGAAGCCTCATTCTCTAGTTTATTGTCATTGTACAAACCATAGATTTCCTATATCTTTTCTGTATCACGTACAGCAAAAGCATAAAGATCCTGACACTCGCTTCATCTCCCACTGAGCTGAAGACACTCAGCCAAAGAGTTAATGTAATTCAGCAGCACACCTGAATCTCAACTCATTTACTTCTGTTGTGGATTTGTCCCAGTTTCTGTATCTAGAAAGCAGATGTCTTCCTTGCACAGCTCTGTGTTTTTCAATAAAAATATCAGAGGAAAAAAAAGTGAGACTTTAAATATTCTTAAGGCATCATGTCTTATTTAAAAACTACTTGCAGATTGGCAGGCAGCTCGTAAAGTATTTATGGGGCAGATTATAAAAGTGAAGTTGTAAAATGATCCCTATATAGGTTTATAAAATATAAAACGGACAGGTAGAAAGATGAAGAATTCAGCTGGGAAACTGAAGCCCACTGCCGCGCATGGCAGAAGACAATTCACGGAGAAAAATCCTTCAAGAAAGGAGGCAGGAAGATGCTTGCTCTCCCTGGACCAATGGAGATGCTTTGTGTCTGACTGTACTTCAGGGTGCCCTTGCTGGGTGGTGTGTGGCTCCTCGGCCACCCGAGGTATCCCCAAAAACCACAGAATGCCCAAGGGAAGGAGTTTCCATCTCCCTAGCTGGGGTCACCGCTCTGGTCACAACTCAGGCAGGATGGCCTAGGCAGTGATGTGGGAGAGTCTTTACATACTTTTTTTATAGTCGTAGGCCAAAACATTTCAGCACACAGCCAAGGTGTTACTAGAAATGCACGTGGGGACAGCATTTAGACATTCCCAATGAGGAAAGGGACCTCACCTTGTTAGGTGCAGCCAGTACCATTGAATGGCTTGCGCCCCAAAGCAGCATGCAATCTCCCAACCCAGTCCTGCAGAGATTTATACATGTATTTAATCTCTTAAATATGAGATAAATGAACTCTGTGTGCTTCTCTGAAACAGAGACAAAATGCCACTTGCTTTTCAGGGGCAAGACCTTCACTCAGAAGCACATCTTTTACAATAAATCAACTTTGAGGAATACATCCAACCCATCTTGAGCCGTCATTTTACAGGACGTTTGAGAGGACTGCAAGATTGTTGTTTACAAGGGGTTAGTGCTCGTTTCATACTACTTATGCCAAGATGTTAAAGCAATAAGGCTGCATACGTGTTGCAGGGCAGGACCGCGTTCCACCCAGAGGAATAAACAAACATGGATCCGTTCATCTGGCCAAGATCCTGTCACCTCAGCTCATGTGTGGAGACAATTACTTGTTCAGAAAATACTTTTATCCTGGATAAACAACAACGATACTGCGAGCCAGAGGCAAAAGTCTACCTCTAGTGACGTTGGTCCATGTTCAGCATTCACCTTTGCTGCTTGCAATCTTAGAATATAATCAGTATCACAAAACCAGGGAATACTCAAGGGCCTGGTGTAAAACAAACAGCTTTTATACTGGAAGTTGTTTCCCATTTTTCTGTTCACTTTCCTCCTGCTTTTTTGATGTCTATAATGAGTTACTTCCATTGCACTGGACCAAACTTTCATGTGGAGTAACTTGGAGCAACCCATGCAGGCTGGGAATCTGACTCATTCAACTCCTCTACCTACTCTCAAAGTCCTATAACTTGGAGAACGGGATCAAAAGAGCAGTAAAACATCTGGAGATGACAAGCTACAATCTTCGGCTCAATTCAAAGATACCACTAGATGACTGGCCAAAGAGGAACCAGGGCAGGTTCCCTTCTTAAAGGGTTGCAGGTTCACTGTCTTCTCAGCTGCTTTCTGCTGTCCACCTCTACACAGTGCGACCCTGCTTTCGACCTCCGATTAACTTGGACACATTACAAAGGAAGTTTCATAATTCCAGTGGTGGTATTTTTAGCCTTTAGTCTTTCCCTGCCTTTGCACTGAATGACTCCCTGCTTTCCTAACCACTGCCAGAACAATTAAAAATAATTTAAACAAGATACTGTTTCCCCCTCTCACAGGAAGCTCCCTCTGAAGTGTTCTCCATAAATCTCTCTAAAGAGGTTGTCGTGACTTCCCATAGCACAGCCAACGGCATCCGTGCCTTGAAGTCACTCTTCCCATTTCCCCATCCCAGCTTGCTACCACATTAGTCTCTCTGCAGCTTAGAAGGAAACTTGCAAAAGGTGTTTTCCAGGTCAGCCAAGTTTTCCCCATGCGTCTCTCTTCCTCGTAGCCATCCAGTCCTTTCCCAGTCTCCTTTGAGAAGCATTTTCCATTGCTGCCACTCTCTGGTTGGCAGCCTTGCTGAGGACATTTGAAGCATGACTCCCAGTGAGGGACTGCTCATGCACTGGTGGCACAGGCACGACAGACAACAGAAGTACCAGCAGGTTTTCTTCTAGCACAATCATTGCCAAACCGGTGGCTCGCAGGAATGACTGCACATACCAGAAGAACATTTTGCAGCCAAACACTTTGAGCTGAGCATCCTTGCTTGCTAACGCTGCTCTTAAGCACTCAGAAGTCACAAAAATCAATTTAAAAATGCTCCAACAGGAAAAAAAAGTCTTCTGTTTTAGGGCTTTTGGGATTTGCATTTGCAAACTCCCTGGTTCTGGCTTCTGTCAGAGCCAAAATACAGCACAAGAGGACCCAAAAACTGTCCACATTGGTGATTGCAGTGCCCCACAGCCAGGGACTGCACCATGACCCAGCCACCACCGTGCAAAGCCTCAGCACCCCTCAGAAAATACAGTAGAAGAGTTTCACACCTCTCACCCAGCTATGCTGCAAAACCTTCTGTCATGCTTTAACCAGTTTAACAACACACATGGGATGTCTCAGCGCTCCTATGGTCTCAAGCAGCTGTCTGATGGGGATGGTGATTTCAGGAGTCTCCTAGGAGGCTTAGGAAGATCTCTGCCTGCACAGATTACAGCCGATTCAGAGACCTAAAACACATTCCCTTCGGGGAGCAACTCAACTCGCATCCAGTCAAACCAACAGAAATTAAAATCACCTTTCCTTTAATTAGTTAGAAAAGAGGGGAGAGTACAAGAGACCAGAAACTGGTGAGGCAGCCCAGACGGTGGCAGAACAGGGCAGCATGCAGCACGGACACGCAGCTCTTGACACCCACAGAGATATGTCCAGCGCTGCTGGAGCATATCGTTGGCAAACAGCATCATGTATTGCCATGTATGTCATACATTGACATGTATGTCAATGACATACAGTTCATTTCACTGACATGCATGTTACATGCCACTAAATACCTTTCCACTCCCGCCTGCCCCGTTTCCTTTCTGAGGGCAAATTACCTCCCCTGGCCCCTTTTTGTGACAAGAAGCAGAATTTGATGAAGTGTCCAGCATACATGATGTTTTATTATGACATATGACATTGCTGGTGTGGTGTCTGGATCGATCACAGCATAACATATCAGGCTTTTTTTCCCCTGGGACTCCTGCTCTTGCTGGAGACACACTCTGCTTCAGGTCACGCTATTTCCAGTTGTTGAGATAGACAAGCTGGGTGCAGAGATCAGATGAGAAAGCGATTTCCAGGCCAATACAAGAAAGGGAGGGAGAGGCAGACTGCACAGAAAACATGGAGGGAGGACACGAAATAGGAGCCAGCACAGGTGGGAACACTGACCATGTTAGGCTCGGATAGGCAACAGCACGCAGAGAAGAAGCCCACCCACAGCCATGATCGCAGCAACTGAAAAGCAAACAAAAAAGGCCCAGGATAAGGAATAATCCCACTGCCCTGGAAAGGTGCAAATACATTTGCAACATTTTTATACGCACTTCTTCCTTCGTATTGCAATTATTATTTGAACCTTAACACCCTGGGCTGCAAGAATTTCCTGGCATGTGCTACCATTGGGGAAAAACGCCTTGAGGAGAGCGTATAGACCCTGGTCCTGCAAAGCAATTAACCATGTGTTTCCCGTACTTGAGTACCACCATTAGGATTAACGGGGCCACCCATGTGCTTAAACTTAAGCACCTGCCCTGGAGCAGGCAAAGTGACTTTTTCCACAAGCGTGCGTACGGTACAGTTACAATTTCCTTTAAGAAAAAAAAAGCACTGGATGAATGCGAGCCCTGCTTTTGCAGACCCTTATGCGTGTACTTAATGCACACAGCCCTTTCTGGGTCTCCTTGTATCAGTGAAGCTTTGCACGCGCATTATGTATCTGCAGACCCGGACCTTATGAGGTGTGTGAAAGTATTCAGCCTAAGTAAACTCAAAATGTGGTGAGTTGAAAGGCACTGCGTGCGTCCACAGCTTGCTTTTGAAGGCTGCCGAGCCATTACTCTAGTCTAATCAGAGTATGGGTTTGCCTGGCATCAGTCCATAACCCAAGGCTGTCTGCACCTCAGTAATTGTCTTTTATCCTTGTCAGAGAACTTGCATGGACAATTTTTTCTGTTACCAAATCTACTAAGGTAATTCACCCTGAAAAAGAACATAGTAGAGAAGAAACAACTTCAGTACAATATACAAGCAGGAGCCCAATGGTGCAGACATACTCCGGTTAAAGTCAGTTGAAGATCTCACTCATCATTTCTCCGCAAATCATCTTAATATGTAATTCTTGAAAAAAAATTGTGCCCATTAGATTTTTATAAAGTATAACTTACACATTAAAACACATTAAAATAGCCTATTTAGACAAAATTAACATTCTGCAACTGCACCGCCTTAAATTATGATGCAAAATAACTTCAGGCATGCAATGATTTACAGAATTATATACTGGATTATGTGCTTACTTAAATTAGAACTGGTGAAGAATGTCTTTCTAAGCTCCTTTTGCATCAGCAAAACAACTTGCTAACATTTTCTGAACAATGATGCCAATATTTTTTACTATAATTGACAATATTTTGTATTTTCATAATGCCCCTGCTTGTACAGTCATACTAACATGGGAGCAGCTCAGCCTTCACTAAACCTCTCCATTGATCGAAGTTAACACTGGAGGTCCAAAACCCAAAAGCGCACAAAGGCAACCCAAGAATTATATATTTTGAGTCAATTTTGCCATTTTCTGGGTTTAACCTCGCAGGATTTGAGCACAGGGAACTGGTACATCTCCAGATGACTGTGGCTGTGACAACTTAGCTTACATTTTAGCTAGGAGGCCCTTTCCCCCCCGGCATTTTCTAACAGTTGCTGCCACCAGACCTTCCCACACTGCTCAGCGTGCAAAGTCAAGTTTTTGAAACAACAGTTCAATTAACCTGAAAAGCAACCACCTCCTTAAAATGAAAAAGAGCTTGCTATTTTCCTAAAGAAAACTCTTTGAGCACTTCATCAGGAACTGAGCTGCTCTGAGACAAAATCAGTTCCCTGCACTGAATGCAGAGCACTTCAGATCTCACTTGCTCCCTTTACGGGGAGGAAAAAAATGCTCAAGTGCAAAGAAAATATGCCTCAGTGCAGCCTTACTCCTGCACACCTGTCACATAACACTGTGCACTCCGGGTCAAAATACTCTGAGGTGCAACATTAGGCGAAACCTAAAGCTCATAGAAACAAACTAAACTGGATCAGCAAACAACAAAATTCACTTTCCAGTCCCAGGAGCACTTGGATAGGTAAGTGAATGGACTACTTGGCCTTAACAGTTAGGACAATGGAAGATTTATTACTGCTCATGTTAAAAGAATGCCTTGATTTGGCAGGTAAACTTTAGAATATAAAAAGTTTGAGGCAAATAAAACTGGATATTAAACTCCAGCAAGCCCGCTGTGCCCTCACAGCCACCGCATTTGGGTGCTGACGCCTTCTAGGAGGGGCAGAGTTTCCCTCTCTCCTTGCTCCACGGAGGACTTTCTTGGTCTAGAAACTGAGAAGCTGAAAGCAAATGCTTTCCAGATGAGATCAAATGCTGTGGCAGGATAAGAGATTACCGCCCAGTGAAATATGCCCGGACCTCTCCAGGGTTTTAAGATCTTTAACCAGCAAGCTGACCTGTATCAGGCAGTAGTCAGAGTTGAACTGAGTACTGTATACATCAAAATTATATGCAAAGTCTCCTCCAGCCTCACTGAACCAACAAGCAGACTATGAGGAGAGCTTGTGGGGACTGCCCCTGGCTCTAGTGGGCGGTCAAAAGCCCCTCCGATCTGCTGCAGGTTAACAGGTGACATGTCCAGGTAATGGTGAAGGTTATTGTGAAAACACCTGCAGCGTTAAATCCCTTTTGCTGGGGAAGAACAAGGTGCTGAGGCAGCAGCATCTCCAAAAGCCAAGCTGGCTTGAAACGAGGTGTGAGTTCTGCTTTGAGCCCTGGCTTCAAGAAAAGGGCTGCAGATGGGCAGAGGCAATGAGAGGAGCCTGGAGCTGCAGTGGCACCTCCTGGACCTCTGCAGCCTGCTGGCACTGCCCTGCTGCTTGACTAGACCAGCTCCACTGCTTTCGGTTATCTCAGGCACACAAAGCCAACACTCCTCCAGTTCTAGCAAAGGTGACCCCCGCAATGCCTATGTGGTTTGCAAAACCAACTGTCCAGAGAGCAAACTTTAATAAACCTGTGCTAGGAGGACTTATCAACACCCTTGGCATCGCTTCAAACCCTGGGCTACATGCTTTGTTAATGAAATTTATATATATGATGGGCCCCAACAACTGTGCTTGCAATCAATGTAATTAATTTACCACAAGTCTGCAGATGACCCAGAGAGCATTAGGAATTAAACTACATTTCTAGTGGCTAGATAGATCTCAGAGAGGCTCTGCCATATATAGCTGCGGCTTTTAAGAGTTATAAGTTGAAGACTTGGAGTCATGATAAATGAAAGCCTCGTTTGTTGCTTTTAATAAGCTGCTCTAATGGGATGTTCTTCAGAGGCTTGCAATTAGAGACTGAAATACTTCAGGGTGCCTGGGAAGATTTTTCTAATCCTTCACGCAGCCTTGAGCGATGGCAATGATTGCTTCCTGCATCTCCAGGTCAGGAGGCCAGCACTACACCTAGCACCTCGTGAGTCAGCATGCTTGCTTCAAACATCATAGGAGCAGCATTACACACTGAGCTGCTAGGAATATATTCCTACTTTGCCCAGAACTATATGAATGTTTAAGCAGTCACCTCCTCTTCCTGCTGAGCTATACCCGGTTCACACGTTAAAGCATGTCTCTGCGCTGCTCGAGAATAACTGAGAATGCAGAAGCCCAAGCAGGTGATATCTGTGCAATTACTGTGGGGAAGGAGAGCAATGCTTCCAGGGAAAGGAACTGCACTTGGAAAGACCTCTGGCATTATACTTTGCTATGTCTAAGCTGCAAGAAAGTACAGATAACCTTTTTTCTAGGTAAAAGGCCAAATGCCACAACATGGTGTGCCCCCAGGAGAGGTCATGCTTCCTATTTCTAGCATCCAAAGCAAGGTGAAACATCCACATATTCAGAAGTGCAGACAGATGACAGTCTGATTTTCTTCTTCATCCTCTACCCACTCCATAGCCAAGAGAAGACACTGTAAAACCCCACTTTAAAACACTACGTACACATGGGGCTTTCACCAGTGCTCAGCAGGAGCCTGGAACTGCTACCACTGAAGTCAGGTTTCATTTTCAGCTTGAAAGGCAGCCCAGTTCCCTTCCTGACGTGGAAACAGGACTTGCACAATGCCATCAAATGCATCATCTGAATGAAGGCGAAGAGCTTTTGTCACTAACTGCTGCACTGCCCCACAATTCTCCTGCTCAGACAAAGCTTATGCCATCCACTTATCTGTTCATCACGGTCCTCCTGCCCTGTTCCTTGGCTACTGCCAGAGTAACTCAGAAACGATGCTTTCAAGGGCAATGCCTCATGGGCTTGAAGCTTAATTACAGACTTGGTCAACTCTCACCTTCTGTCTGGGCCAAAGTCATCTGAAGGCAGGTTAGCCTAGGTCCCTAAACCTGCCTCGAAACTGCAGCAGCTCAGACTGGCTTGTGGAGCCCAGTGTGTCTGCATGGAAGTACTAAGCCAAAAAGTGTTTAGAATAAAAAAAGAAAAAAGGTGTTGGAGCAGCCAAATTTGCCAAGCTGATCTAGGCAGGATGCTAGAGATGGTGACTACAGGCAACAGATTTCCACACCGGCCCTGGGAAGGCATCACCCTGTGCAGAAGGGTGCACTGGAGCACTTTTCTTCCAGAGAGGGACCCTGTATACCAATGTTGCTAACGTTCCTCTCTGGCAAAATGTATCACCAAAGGGCAAAGAGGCTGTTAACATGACAGAGGTAGTAAAAACCCTGACCCGAACAGAAGCAGGACCAGACCCTGCCTGCTCTTGGTGGATAGGAATTTTGACTTGGCAGAGCACTAGCTTCTCCAACAAAATCCTTCCTCTTGTCAGGTGAATCTCAGGGAATATTTGGCAGTAGGCAGCATCATAAAGTGGCTATAAATCCCAGGAGACAATGTCCTGTAGGAAGAAGGAAGAGCAGGCAAGAATGTAGAGATAAAAATCCTTTAAAAAGCCACAACTAACAAAAATTATGACTCATGCTGGAAAAATTCTCTATGAAAAACGTTATCTGTCTCCCATTTCCTATGGAAATACCAAAAAAGCAAACTATTTTAAGCCCTGACACATCTTGGAAAATAGGATGGGGAGGAGGTGGTGGAAAAATTCATACATTTTGACCTTACGCATCACAGAAGGTTGCAAATGCTGGCTCAGGACCTAGGATATACGCCACAATCTTTTCATCCTCTCTACTCCCCGAAAGTCGCTTTTTAACAAGATGCACATATTTGTGTCCAGAAAGTAGCCCTCTGCCACCGCAGGGGCTGATATTTAAAAGTCTAAATCAGCTAAGGTCAAGGATGGATACTCTGGTGCAGAAGCCTCTAATTGCCAATACCCAGGTGGCAAGATTTGTCTTTGCTTTGTCTTTCGAAGGCTAGTTCCTTGCCACAAAGAGACTTTCTATATATGCACGACACAGGGCAAGGGGCAATTTTTTGTTGCTTCAAATCTATTTTTTTTCTTAAGTTCTATAAAAAGCTCCCCCTGGTTCTTTGGAAGATCAGTTGAGATGGAAAGGTCATCCATAATGGGTAGCTGGCTATAAATGCAGATGCACAGTACACTTCTTAGTTATTTTGAGCAGCTCTTGCAAACATGTACAGCATTGACCTAATAGCATCCCCATTTTACTCTGCAAAAGCCCATGCCTTTGTTTAGTGCTACAAAGCTCAGATGCTTGGGGGACTGGAGGGACCAGCAGTCTCAACACTCACCCTAAGACCCTGTCAGTTTTGCAAACAGGGCTACATTTGAAGGACAAAAGAGGGGGAACTGCTCTGGAGCAGTGGTTCTCCTTCCCAGGCTGATGCAAACCTGGCTTCTTACCTCAGATGGTAGGAAGAAAGGGGCTGATGCCACAACAACTGCAGCACCTTATTGCTCCTTGCAAGACGGAGCGCAAAGATCTTTGTGACTGGCATTATCCAACACAGACTGTAAAACAAAAGTCTGTAATGATTTTAGATTAATATATACTTCAATCAGGAACAATAATGCCAAGCGGCATCTAATTCAAGCACTGCTAGGAAAGCAAAATTTATAGCCTTGCTCTATCTGTAAAATGCATTGCGCTTTTGAGAAGAACACATAATCCTAACAAAACAAAGATAATAACAACTCCGTGTTCTTTAATTTAATGCTTGTAGCTGGTTTAATAATAGATTTTCAATCCACTTTTCTTTTTTTGCTGAGACAACTACAGTCTGATTTAGTGAACCTCTTTGATTTGTAATCCTGATCGTTATATTATTAATATGCCCTTGATGGAAAGAGCAGGATAACTTAAAAAAGCGATCAGCTATTCTGCTTGGCATTTATGACCTTGGTCAGAGAATGCATTATTTACAGGAAGAGTTTTCTGGAGCATCTGCAAGTAAATCAGCTCTGAAACGCAGCTTAATTGTTTAGGGCAAAGCACATTTAGTTTCAAATTCCCAGGAACCTCCAGCTTCAGACACAAAGCGCATTTTCACAGATGGACACTGGCATGTGGAAATGCCACCATGACTACCGTTCAGCTGACCTTTGGTTTAGGGCCAGCTGCCAACGGGAAATGCCAAGCTGTTACTTACCTTCGTTCAAAAGAAGTGAGAAAACTGCAGAGATACTTGAAAGCAAATAAAGGGGAAGAGGTGTGGAAACTTCTGCCTCCAGGGACCTAACAGAAAATAAAAAGTCTGCAGAGCCCAGCAAACCCCTGAGTCCTATGGCTGGGAAACTTCTTTCCAAGCTGATGAGAGCAGGAGGACATCCCCTTCTCACTGCAGGACTGCTCTCAAGCACCTGCTCGCTTCAGCCTGGCACTTGGGAGGATAGGCACAAAGAGATGCCATACAGCATCCTGGGGAGGAATATCCTAATTCTGAGGTGCCGAGGGCCTCCCAGGGAGCCTGAGAGCAGCACGGAGCCAGCAATGAGGACCGTGTTTGCAGGAGCTGGCAAGGCTATGTCCTCAGTGCTGCAGAGCAAGAGTGTTTTTCTCCTTAGCTTTGCTGCTGGGCAATACCTGCTCTCCTACATTAGCAGAAAAGATAGAGCCTGGGCTTTGTACAGCTTACTTGGCGTGGAAAGCAGTGGTGATTCCAGCTGGAGCAACTCCTGGCATTCAAAATATCTATTTTTCTAAAAGCAAGTACGAGAAAGAATTAGGAAAGGAAATTTAACCCCCTGGAACCAGGCACTGGAACAACATAACCACTCCAAAGATACAGGAAATCATCTTCCAGAAACAGGTTAAGAGCTTCAGAAAGGGATTATCCCATGACTTGGAATGTGTTTATCGTCCCTGCAGTGTCACAGCAGGAGAGTCACTCCACGAATTGTCTCGATATCTTATCCAAGGCAAAGCAGCATGAGTGACACATTTCAGCAGCATCTCTGCTTCTTCCAAACAGGAGCAATTTTTTTGTTTTGCTTTGTTTAATTTCAAATTGGCTGTCAGCTTTCTGGGGTTTATTTTTCTGTTCTCACAAGCCACTCGGCGCACTAGATGGGCTTTAAAATTCATGGGAACTCAAAGCAGCCGAAAAGCTCTGTGGTTTTGAAGCCAAGTCTCTAACAACGGACCAAATCTTGGTGCTGGAGGCTTCTCCGCCACCTCCAGCTGAGGGATTGGGTTCTTCCCAGTTTAGAGGAAGGGTTGAAAAGATAAAAATGGACCAAGAGCTCAACTCCCTGTGACTGCCCCTTCCCATACGTCCAGCATGGCACCATGGAGAAGCTCCTGGGAACATGCATCTGCCATGGGGTTCACAGAGAGAGGTGTGAGTACAAGGTAGGAGGATTAAGGCAGCAGCAGAGGCGGCGATAAAACTCTAGACAAATGAGACAAGGGCTTTTATAAACATGCCAAGAGATAAAGAGCCAAGAGGAAGCACATCCTGGAAAGCCCATTAGGGCAAAGGACAGAAAGAAATAACTGACGAGAATTGCTGACAAACGGCTCGGGCTTTGCAACTGCTTTCTTGGACCAGAGAGGGTAGCAGCAAAAAGGAGACCTGCAAGGGCACATCCTCCCCAAAGGGGTCCCAAGTGCTTGCCAGCAACTGTGGGAAGAGCAAGAGCTGCTGGCTGTGACGCAATTGCGATTCCTTATGGCCACGGAGGGATATACGTCCCTCCACTTGCAGTTCAGCCCCCTAGACTCTTCCTTGCAGAGATGCCAGGCTACATCCATAGCTTCCCTACATCCACGCATGCATCCTCCTGTTTGAATCGATACAAGCATGCATCCAGGCTGGGGGAGGCCAAAGTCCACATCCCCCCGCTCTGTTCGAGGAGGGATTTGACTCAAAACCTCCAGCCTTTAAGGAGAGACTTGAACTCCTGCCTACAGCGTTCAGAGCCAAGTCTTTTTGGCCACAGCTTTCCTCTAGCCCCTGGTGTGAATGCCCTGTAGCCATTCAACCCCCCCATGCCACTGCATACCTCTCACGCAGACAGAAGCATTTACTTTCCCATTTTTAAGCCGAACAAGTCACTCAAAGCAGACAGGAGCTCGAACAGCTGAGCTGGAAGAGACTGTCAGTCTCTGACCTTGAGTGGAAATGAGTCTGGCAGCACACTTACCTTTTAAGACAGGAAATAACTGTGTCCTTCCATGGATGCCTTACACCTGGGGACAGAGATGCTCAGCCTGGCTGGATTTCACCATGCTGCATTCGCAGACTGATACCCTACCTCCTCTGGGAAATAAGACCCTCAGCCAGTATGTCCGCTATGGGCACAGTTCCTCTGTGACTGTCTTGTAACTACTCTTAACACTTAATAATATCTTGTAATTTACAGCCACCTTGCTAGACCCGAGCTTAAGACAGACTTGTATCATGAAAGCAACAGCAGGTTGATGGGTATCTTAGAAGCATAAAAGTTTACTTTGCACTGAAAACAAATTCAGCCTTATCAATAGATGCACCTCACATTGCTTTGCATGAAGGATGTTGCATCGTTTGACTACTGCTGTTAAAAAATGTACTAATACACATGAAGTATATGAAACAAGTGCCTTTTGTGCTGGCTGCTACGCAAATTTAGTGCCGCAGTACAAACTGATCCCGATACAAGCCAGATTCCCTCCCAATACCACAATCCCTTGTTCACAAACAAGTTCCATCAACTTCCATTAGAGTTGTCAAAGATGGTATAGCCCAGGCTTTCATCACTTGCCTATGTTTAAGCACATGAGAAGTCAATGGGATCACTTGATGGTTTGAAGCTGAGCGTCTCCCTCCGTGGGGGGAGCTCTCTGTATAATTTACTAGCGCGTGGGGAACACATTAGTGTCCTACACATGAAAAATGAAATCCAGACCTGACCAAAACTTAGTGCGTTTGGCCATTTGGCTGGATTTCTTCTCTTTTTCTTTGCAAGTGTTTTCCTGAACCCAAGTTTTCTCTGTAAGCAAAGCCCATTGTGAGCTCTGAGTGCAAACATATGGGCTTCAGGATATTTTACCTGTAGTAACATGTTCTGCTTATTTTTAAAGGAATGTGAAAACACTCCTGTGAGAATCAAGTCGAATAATCAGGGCCAGTCTATACAGAGATGAAAATCATTGGGAAGTGAACTACATCTGTGAGCGAGCCTCTGCCATTCCTGCCTGTCCAAACAGATCAATCAGCCCACCTTCATGCTGTTTTACAGTGCTACCACTCGACAGCTTCGTTCACATGCTGCTTTCACCTAAATTGTGCTAATCAGCTGGTCAGATAAAGTTATTACAAAAGTTGGAGAAGTATAAATACACAGCTTCTTCTCTTACCTTCCGCTGAGAAGGAAACCAATAACAACAGCCAGCAGAATGACTCCCACTGTTACAGACACAACAATTATAGGAATCTGGCTCTGGTCGCTGGATGCAGCTACTGCTGAGATGAGAAACAGAAAATGGAGATTAAGGTTAAAATGATAGTCAGCACTCACATGAATCTTTCTAGTGAGGCTGCCAATGAGGTTTCAAGTCTTACCAGTTTGTTTCTTCTTTTATGGTTTGTGTTTTCCCCCTTTGCTGTCTGTTTCTCGTTTGGAAAGGAAATGGGCGGAAAGAAACCAAACACACACGCAAAACCAAGCCAAAACCCCAACAAAATCGCATCTCATCACTGAATTCAGAAACCAAAGTGTTGCAGAATGCAGCCTTTGAGTTTGCAAAGTCAAATTTGTCTTTCTGGCTTAGCTGCGTTAGAAATCACAGAGATAAAAGATCAAAACCCAACAGGTTCCCATTTGCAGAGAGAACATTTATGGAATGTTATTAAGAGACATAAGCAGGATCTCTGTAATTAAACAGCATTACCTGCCCTGCAAGAAGCTATAAACAATTAAAAACTAACTCCTTGTGGCATCTATGTCACATGGCTAGTAGGTGCCCTCTGTAAAACAGGAATTTTTTAAGACACATGCACCGGTTGGTCTTTTTATTGGCCAAGGGAAGCAGAACTCTCCTAGCCCATGCCTTGTAAAGAGCCCTCCTGCCAAAAGGCAGGAGACAAGTCCTGTGATCAAGATGCCAGCAGAAAGGTCAGGAGAACTGGGGTTTGCCACAGGTTAAGTAAGAGTAGGTAAGCAAGCCCCTGCAGCCTGTAAAATGGAAATGCTAACACCATTTTTATCTTGTTTATCTGCTTTGCACTGCAGGGGAAGGAGCCCATCTCTCCTCAGCAGTTTGCATGTGGGGTTCCCCAAGCAGAAACCAAAGCCTCCTCACCCTGCCCTCTCCACTGCCAGCTTATTTAGCTCCATATATTTAACCACCCTGGGGTACAAATCTGGCTTCCTCCCTGCAAAACCAGCTTGCCAGCGTAGGCGCTGCTGTTGTGTGGGGAAAAACCTCATTATAGCTCCTACTGTCGTGCCAGCCCCGGATGAAGCTTCATCCACCCCGGGGAGCAGCAGGAATCGATAGTACACTGAAGAAGCCTTTAACTAAATAAGTGAAGTAAAAAGGGGTTCTTAGCACAGGATTAACTTTATGGAGGCTATAAAATAACTGAATATAGTCCCATATTAATTGTTAAAAGAAAAGAAAGACAAAAAGGTATGGCGTTAAGCATCGATTTGCAATGGGTTTCCAGTAGCTCTGCGTACGGGAGCTCTCCAGAGCTCAACGAGCAGTGTGGACCTGCTACAGCAATGTAAATGATTTCAGAAGGATTGGCTGCGATACATTAAATATTTAATGTTAACTGCTTCAAATCCGTGCCATCATCCAGAGATTTTATTAGCCTCACAAATTTATGGAGGCTCCTTAAGATGATGTTTTATTGCTTTCTTGACAAAATAATTAAAAAGAAAAACATTTAAAGGAGAACATTAAGCTGTGACTGGTGTTTTTTTGCACAGCTCGAGGGATGGGGAAATGAGATAAATCCTGCTGTGATCTATGGCAGCTAAAAAGCCTGAATTCAAAAGCCGAGCTGGAACCTTGTTGCCATTTAAAGCTGGGGGCGGGGACCTGCATTACCCATCCTCAACTGGGTGACATGTTCTCACTCCTGCCTGGCTGACCAGCTGGATTAGCTCACCAATCCAGCTGAAAACCAGCTTTTGGCAATGTTAGTTTTATCAGGGCTAGACAAGCTCAGTGGCATTTGGAAAGGACAGCGGCAAGTAGATACACCCAGCAACAGACTGACCCAAATAAAAAACTTCCGCTGAAAAATGCAGCCCTGGCTGCATTGCAGCACTTTGCAGAATTGCACATGCAGGCAACAGTGTGTAAAAAAACCCCCGAATCTGGAAAAAGAGAGAAGTCCAAAACAAGCAATGGCTTCCCCCTCATTGCATTTCTCAGGCTGTTGTTTCATATTTCTTCCAAGTGTATTAAAAATAACTTTACAGAAACCTTGCGAACTGGAAACAAAACCTGTTGTTTGGTCCAAACGATTTTGGAGGCTGGTTTTGATTCTCACAACAGTCACTGAAAGGTTTTTATTTGTGCTTGAATCAAAATAATTTGCTTTGGCTCTAACAAGAGGTTCAGATCTGCACTCCGATGTAGCGGTGAGATTTCGATCTGTGCTTGCTTTCAGATTCACCAGGTCGTGCAGGAAAGCAGTGGGAGCCTGGTCACACTCCTGGCACTAATATTGACTTTACACAGGGCCTTGGAAAAAAAAATTTTAAAATCACTTTTTAAAAGATTTTAAATGTCAAATGGCACTGCATTTTGCAAGATACTGAGGCTCACATTGCATTTCAATTCTACCAAGCATTTAAACATCCAGTTAAGTCCTGCTTCAGCCAGAGCTCAAGTCCAACACAGGAACAGTTCCCAGCTCCCAAACTGGGGACCATGCAGTAGGTATTCCTCCGACTACGCCAGCAGGTCCTTAGTATCAGAGAAGTACCTACTCCTCTGCCTTTAAAACGCTAAAAAGACTGGGGTACAGGTGTGACTAAATGACTCTTGGGGTTTAAAGATATTACCACATGATGTCCTCAAAATTCCTGATTAACACACATACTTACATGATGGGCTTTACAGAAGTGCCATTATTTTTGGACCAGGATCATAGGTACTGGTGGCACTGGATCAAATGTGCATATATTTCATGTATTATTTATTAATAGTCTGGAACACTATTACTCAAATGACTCTAAACTAGAAACTTTCCAACTGCAAGCAAAATTTCCTTAGTATAATATAGAATAATTTTCGGTATAACATGATTTTGTTGCTACTTATAGGGCACAATTAATGGTTAATACAATAAGAAATACATTAAATAGACCATTCTTATTGCATTAATGTTTGCATCGTGATGCAATTTGCACTGTATTAGTTCTATCACTGGCTCCACAGCTACATCTGCACATGTATAATGATTCCTTTAAAATCTATTACAGCTTCAAAGGTAGCATGCATTGAAAAGACAACTTGGCATCTTATTCTCAAAGATGATGAATTTTAAATGAACTGGAGTAATAGTAATGAAAGTATTGACGAATTTAAATTTCCAAGGAAAACATACAGAAAATAGGCTCTTTCCCACAGGAATGAACAGTGTATTTCCACCAGAAAATTTCTCTTTCATGCAAACAGTATAAAAAATTAATAAATGACAGTTGTACAAACTGAAATAGATAAGACATATTTTCTGAGGGAGGAAATTATCTTTGACACATCTGCAAAAATTTGGTAATCGGGACAAAAAGAATTTCCCCACAGCTGTGCCTGAACACAGGGGAAAGAGCAGCTGAGCCTCTATGTGCCTCAGGAGTTCAGCCTACCACAGAATCTGCTTCAGAATCCAGACCTGGATGATCAGATTAATTTAAAAAAAAAAAAAAAAAAAATTAAATTCAAGCCCCACAAATTTGTAACAGGCCAAGCAAAAGTCCTGTGCCTGCAGTGCATATTTTTCCCATTTCTGATCACAAGTCAAATTCCGTTCCTCGAGGCTGTGGCATTGGCAGCCAACAGAAACCATCTTTCAACTTGACAGGAACTTACACCAAAAGATGCTAATGCTAGTTCAATTCTTCCCCTTGCAGAGAGGCACCATTTCAGGTTTTTTTCCCCAGAGGCAGATATTTGAGAGAGCTCAGCATCCTCTGCAGATAGCCATTAAGAGGTACAGAGGAGCAGGTATCATCCCCTCTGTCCCTCCTGAGAGGAGGGCCCTTGTCCTCTCTTGCATCAGCTCTCATAAATACAGGATTTTTCCAAGCAGGGAACGCTATGAATTTCTGGAGCCTGAAGACGTCCTGACTTCAATTCCCACCTCACCGTGTGAGTTGAGGAAGCAAGGACAGATGTGTTAGCCTGTCTAGTGCACGGTCATGATGTGCCTGGTGTTTCCAAAGTCAAGAGATGAGGCCAGGACAAGGAAGAGCTCTCTGCAAAGGTATCGATCCCCTGACTCATTACTGGTAACCGTTCCAGAGACATGGGCTGACAGTAATTAAAAGGACTTACACACTGGGCTGGTTTCAAACTCAAATCTTCGGCTGAAGCCACCGTAGCCGGCAGCTGTCCGGGCTCGGATCTGGAAGACATACGCCGAGCCTGGTTTCAAGCCATCTGCTGTAATCGTCGTCTCTTTGGATTTGATGATGGTGTAGCTCGTCTCCTGGTCCTTTTCCCAACCCCCCAGCAAAAAACACAAAGTTGAAACACACAAACAGTGGCTCTTGGAGAAGACAGACTCTTAACAACCCCCACAGCAATGTTACAAAGGATGACTGAAATATGCATTTTTGAGGATCTCTTCCTCAAAATCCCCCTCTGAAGGCCATTTCTGCAGTACAAAATGTGAGATCTGATTTTCTCTTTCATAATCAATGACTCTAGGAGGCATGAAACAGAGCAGAGGGACTTTCCACCCATAAATGACAATACATGGACCAAACTGGCATCTGCAGTAGGAGTAGCTTTCCATTGCTCAGGATGTACACAGCCCAGGGCAACAGAAAGGTTCATCCTACAGAGACCAATCCCAAGGCACGGAGAAGAGGAAAAAAAGTCCCATCGCCTTAGAAAGGGATTTAAATTTATACCAAAACAACTTCCCAGTAATGTAATTAGGCCTAAAGGAACATAATATATTATATGTTGTACAACTTTATGCTGGCATTTCTAGAACCATGAATTAGACCTTGGGAAGGGGATAATAAACCAAAACTCCAGGAAAATACCTAATTTTGCATTGTTCTTCTCAAGCAACAAACTTGAAGAAAAATTGCTGAAATAAATCTTCATTTACATCAGTTTCTAATGCAAAAGAGTTTCAGTTCTTTGATTAAAATTTTGCTCAAATGCTTGGTAATTACTCTTAGAATTATTTACTGTAACATATAATCTAGACAAGAGCTCATAAATTAAGGTCTACAAACTTGGAAACTGCTTTTTATTCACCATATCCTCTCAGATCCAAATTATTATGAGGTAAACAGGAATTCTTAGTAATTCCCTACCAAGAGTTCTGCATAGCTCTTAAGATCTGCACCGATTTTTCATTTTTCTTTTTAATTTAATGGGCAACTTTCCATAGACAGTAATATGCCTGGATAAGGCCCTGGGAATCTCCAAATGTAGGATTAGAGATTTTCTCTGTAGTTACACAAGACTGTTTTGGAGAAATGTGTGTATATGTATATATATATATATGCACAACTTTTTTTTTCTTATTAAGGAGCGATTTCTCTTAAAGGAATGCGAACTGACAAAAGTCAATTTTCCAAAATATTTAAAATAGATCATTCTCATCCCTTGGAAATGAATGCTGCAAATTGACTCTTATAAAGGGCTGAAAACTGAGAGAATATAAATGACAGTAGCAACAAACAAGAAGGATTAAGGACGACATCCCAAATCTAACTCAATGACTGGTTAAAAAGCAATAAGTGAACATTAGGTCACATCTTTGCTTGTATGTCAGCCCCATTAGGTTTTCAATACACTGTTGCCTTCTGCAAACATATAAACACTTGAGCTTTCCTACAGAAAACACTAAGCTTCACTATTAGCCTGAAAGAAATAAATCAAGACAGCATAAACTCAGACTGGCTGTAGCTACCTCCCCGTGAAGGACTTGTACTTGAAGAACTATCTACTGAAGCTATTTCAGACTAGTTCTGGACCACAAATGCAACATTTTAAGCCCTTCCCACACCCCCAATTTGTTTGAAAACAAACTAAATAAAACAAATACATGGATTTTTTTGCTTTAATTATTTGTTCATTATCAAGATTTCTAGAGGCTAATCTTTCCAGGCCACTCCACGGTAAGGATTCAATGCGCCACAACGGTCGTTCAAACAAGCTAATAACAGAATCAGTAATGGATTATTTCCAGCAATATCATATCCTGATTCTTGCTTTGTGCTTTAATTTTTTTTAAAACCTCAGCCCTATTTAAGCCACTCGCACATCTTGTGCCCTTGCCCAAGCTCCCTCATCTGCAAAACTAATGTTGATTTTATCCTGACGCAGAAGATTTCTGAAATTCTTTCCCCTGTTTGCACAGGTTGCTTGAGCAGGTCCCTCCCGTGGTCAGAGAAAGAAGAGAGGAGGAGAAGGACCCTAGTCCATGTTGAGTGGTTTCACCTGGGTCATGGACAGAACTAATGGAAGATCTTCCTTAAAATAGAAATATAGAAATTCAACCCCCCAGAAAAGTGAATTGTGACTCAATTTCATTATTTTCATGTAGAAAGCCTGGCTATTTCAGAAGAAAAAAGAACACCTTACAATTCCAGCTAAGGCAAGAAACTGCTATTCAGTCAACTCTTGCAAACCTGATTTTTGGAAATCTAAGATTTCCAAAGATCTAAGGCTGCATTTCTCAAAAGATGCTATTTAGACAAAGTGCATTTGTTACCATTTTCATTTAAACTGCATTATTTTTGCAGGAACAGAACAAGTCACCATTTGAAATGAAGACTAGGAAAGGCAAGTTTCGTAGCAAGAGAGAGTGTTTTCCATTAGACTGAGAGCAAGAGCTGGAAAAGCCAGGCAAGCTTTTAAGCCAGGATGTCCTTCTTCACATCAGAGCAGATACAGTCTCTCCACAAAAATCTTTCTCCTGTCCTTACACCGTGGATGCAAAAATCAAGTGAGAAATTGAAATACCAAAGGCAAGGGATAGCCTAACGTTTCCAGGAGGAGATAGACGCTTGATCCCAAACCCCTCCTATTTTTAACAAATGAGCAAGCTCTATCTTAATGTGATAAGGCCGGAGAGGAATCTGACACACAGATTTAATGTATTTGTTCAAGAGAAGTGGCGCACTAATGGAAAACAACACCCTCATTTCAAGTCTTCCTAATCATTTACTGCAAAATCAATCTGACATTGATTTATGCATAAAATCACTCCATTCCCTTCCATGACTCAAATAATTATAACTAAAAGAAGAGGACAGTAAAGAGAAGGTACTTGGGATGCTCAGCAATCAGTCCGTCACACCTTTTCAAAATATTTGATTTCGTATTCCAGGATGATGCCGTTGGGTCGATCTGGCTCCTGCCAGGAAAGGGAGATGCTATTTTTAGTTATCTTCCCTTTTTTCACACTACTGACTGGAGAAGGTGCTGCAAGACAGGAGAAAAACAGAACAGACAAAACCCATGGTTAGTAAGATGTTCTGCCCCTGCCAAAGTCAAACTCATCAGCGCATCCTTAACTGCTAGGCGATCTTTAGCTACTGCAGATCAGCAGGGCCTGTTTTCACCTTGGTGGTATTTGCCCACTTTTAACAACTGGACTCGCACAGATTTTCAGCAGCCAAGGATCTGACCAGCATCACCCACCCGAGCAAAGTAACAACATGAACTACCATCAGCAACTTATACATCCACCTTGTCTTTTCAAGCACTTTTCAAACACATCAACCCCACACCTTGCCTTTTCAAATGTGTCGGGGGCTACATTATCAGTATTACATGTTGATTACCTATTGATTGCTTTCAGCTGCTTTGAAGTTATGTATTTTTCAGAAGACCTTAGATTATGTGGGCTCCTTAACTAATTTTTTTTGTCTGGTACAATAGGTAAAGCCTAGGCACCTTCCAGCCCCCTCCTTCCAGAAGCAAGAAACAGGGTAGCAAGGCCATTACAACCTTTATAATTCAATTGCTCTCCATAAACATCGCTAGTGTGTTACAGCTCACATAGCGATGCTAACTCCTTGCAAGTGGCACCTGTAAAGATTTTAATGGCAACCACAGTTTGGAATTTTGTGGCATGCTTGGGGAAGCTGCAGCATGAAAGCAGCCATACTAGCTCTGCTTATTATTTTAAGATGCTACCCTGAAAGGTTATCTGCCCTTCACAGCACACCAGAAACAGGCTTGATCCTTTGTTTTCAGTCCGATATCTGCAGAGACTTTTCAAGTCGTGGCTGTTGCCACCCCTGCCAGCTCCCTAGCAAAAGCTGCTATGGACAATGCAACCCCAACACCCCAGGTATTTCATGCCAGAGATTAGGAAACAACACTGAGTGAAAAGATGGGATGAAATTCATAGTCTCTAATTTGCAAGGCCAAAAGCAGCTTCTCCAGAGGAAAAACCAGCCCATGTCTGGCCGAGGGCCTTCGACTCACCCTCTGGACATGCCAGCTCTTGGCAAGGATTACAGGGGAGCTGGGGAGATCCATGGCAAAGACTTTTGTGGCTATCTGGGGAACTGAGTGCAAAGAGTAGTAGCAAATGACCACATTTTATCTTCCAAAATGTATTTGGAACTACAAAAAAGACGACATCTATATGCAGGACTAGCTAATTATCATCATACTAAAAAAATCCAACCCATTAAGTAAAATAAAGACAACAAACAAATGAATTTTGCCAGGTCTGATCTTCAGCCAAAAAGAGTAAGGGAAGAGCTCCAGACAATTATCCCTAGACTGAAGGTTAGCAGCAAGCCTTCTCTTTTAAAGCAAGCTCCTTCATCTCAGTCTCTTTTTGGCCCCAGTTTTTCTCATTCCTGTTTATTGATCTCTCCCCAGCTTGGCTCTTGGAGGATCCTGAAAGGTGTTGACCATTTCCATATTGCTTTCTGCTGGAGAGCTGGCATCAAGCTGCACAGACAACACTCACTTTTTAGCTGTGCATCCACCACTGTGCTCACAAATGGTCCACTGAGCAAGTAAAAACCATCTTGATTTGAATGACGATTATGTTACTTATGTAGACACTGCACAGTGATCACCAACAATTTTTCATCTGCAAAAGTCACCTTACCCTAAGCTGATGTCCTCCACAATTTTCTGGGCTATGTGAAGGGAAATAACAACCTAGACTCAAACTTCTAATCTGGTATAGGACTTCCCATTAATTAATCCAGGTGCCTAAATACATGTTGCGCATGCATGTTCACAGCAAGTTGAGCTGTGCATGTGAGATATACTGTCCGTGCACATGTGTATGGTCAAATGTGTTAGCCCAGAGAAGACATAGTGAGTAGTGAACTCCCTTAAAATAGGATAAACTTCCCTTCTAATGCAAAGGGAGCTACATGGTTTTCAGAGGCATCAGAAAACAAGTCTCACTGTGGGGTGGTGGTGCTAAACAAGAGGCAATTCTACAACCCTAGTTAAATAGACAGTACTGATCACTTCTCACCATGAGCCACTCAGAAGCTATATATAGGGGATGGAAACACCAAAGTACTCAGAAAAAGGGCCCCGTGCCCCTCTGGGACTGTTTTCCAATGCCCCCAAATCCCTGCAATGCCTATCCCAGGCTTGCAGAGCTGGCAGCAGAGGTATGGCAGGATGGAGCATTAAACCTTTTAAAACTCCTATTAGCAAAAGCAAACTTGAGACGTGCAGTGAAAGGAGACCTCAGCCCTCCTTGGTATCAAATGCCTCTCAGGAAGACAAAACCCATGCAATTCTCAGTGTCGAGATCGCCTGACCAAATAATGGACTTTTCATCCACTTATTGAGGTTTCCTTAAGTGTTTATAGGACCGAGGCTCACAAGTGCTTTAAAAACAAAAGAACAATGCAAGTGCTCCTGAACTCTGCTGCAAAATCTTTCCCTGGGAGGTTCAGGGGAGTTTAGCTCTCCTTCGCGTGCATCAGCACAGTACAAGACAAAATGCACCACCAGCCATCCAAAAGTGCCTGTCAATCTCCCTACTCCCCTAAAACAGAGCACCCTCTTTAAAAAGCAGTGTGTAAAAAGCTTGGCTACTCAACAGCTTCATGGACTTAAATGTATTGCCACGCAAGTCTCTAACACGTTCAATCGTGGCTCTGCAGAATGCTCTGCTCTACCAGGAAAAGGAGGGAAGATAAGAAAATGAGTAACCCAACTCTCAAAGTAAATTAGAAAAGGAGTAACTGTATCCTTTTTGAATCTCCTTCAAAAGAAGCGTTAAAGTGTAACCGTGAGATAAAGGCCAATTAAGTAAATTCAATAAATCCCAGCGGTGCTGGAATGATACGGCAACTACTCTGCATCCTCAATGCACAGAGATTACGATGCTCTGAACTGAAGGAAGGAAGGTATAAGTATTTTAGAGTTTTCTTTGTCAAAGAAAATGTAATCCAATCCAGGCAAGCGGACAAAGTCTGCAATCATTCCATCTTAAAAGCCTGCAACTGGATACTGTGCTATATGATCTCAGGAAAATAAAAGGATTACTTGAGACTTGCTTTTCAAAGGTCACTGCTTCTGCAAGGGCAGCATCCTCTTAACAGAAAGAAGCCAAGCCATGGAGCACTTCCATTTGGAGTACAACATGTAAAAAAATGAATTCACATCAAGACTTAAGATACATAAAGCTGTAATCTCCCATGTTTCTTACGTAAGCAGGTAGAAGTCTTGTTCAAATCCCTGCCTTGACACTACAAAGGGAGGATGTACATTGTGATTGTTCACATGTTGCTTTACAAGTAATCTGCACATATGCATTAATTTCTCAGCAAGACACTCAAAATCAAAGAGGGATATTACAACATTTACATTTATGTTTGCCATTTCTTGAAAACAGCCATGCGTGTGATGAAAGCAAACAGAAGATATAACAAGGTGTGAAATAGCTAATATACATTTTTGCTTTCCTGAGACCAAAATTAATGAGGAAGCTAATAAAAGCACAGAAAACTGATTCTATCTTTTTTTGTCGTTGTTCTAACATTTCTTAAGAAGAATAAGGGGACTTACCAAATACGGAAATTAAAGTTTCTGCAGAAGATGCATCATTAGTCACATCTGAATAAGTACAGGAGATGTTTTCATGAGGAACAGACCTCTTAGGACATTCCTCCTCCGCACATTTGATAATGATATTAGCACTGAATTAGCCATCTAGGCACCAAACCCAGTATTTACAACATACTGTGCTGTGTCCCACTAACATCTAACATACAATGATGCTTAGTTGAATAAAACATTAATTATATTTTAAGAGAAACTAATGTTATCAGGTGAATGACCACTGCACCAAGATAAAACAAATAATCCAGTTTCTACATCTCATGGTCTATCTAATGCTCTCTCCAGCCCAATTACTTTTGCCTTGATATTTTTCACTCTGGCAGAAACAACATCTAATGGTTCCTCATCTCACCCTTAGCCTGACAGCCAGTGAAGTTTTCCGCTTCTGATAAAAAAAACCCCAACAAACTAGCCCCCTTCACCCTCAGTGCAAAAGCCAAGCCACCAGCCCAGGACCTTCAATTCAGCTTTAACTTCTGCCAGGAGAGATCCTCACTTGGAGCAACCCAGAGTAGCCCAGGAAGAGATGCTGATTTACATAGGCAAAGGGGCTGGCACCTCTCCTTTCTTTGGCTTTCCAGGTATCTGGGCTTCTGGTCCCTTTCCAAAGACAACTAAGGCTTCAAAGAGGAAGATCCTGCTGCTACCATCTCTGTCCTGGCTGCTGTTATGGACATCTATGACATATATGTCTACAGATATAGACATCACCTTTATACAGACATCTGTGTTATGGATTTTCATGTCTTTGTCATGTGTTTGCAATTTCTTTTACTGTGATTACATTCCTATGTGTGCAGACATTTGGGATCTCACACTTCAGACCTCACAATACACCTTGGGGTTCCTCCTTCCATGTGACGCCAGACTTTTGCAGTCTGAATTTACACCAGAAGATTTAAAAGTCAAATTAATGCTTGTGATTAAATCAATACCTTCATCTGTCATCATATAACCAAATAGTTATGCTACCATTAATGCAGTTATAAAGCCAGGTTTAATTGAAGAAAATGAAACCTGTATCAGAAGAGTAACCACAAGACAAGTAATTCTGGTTCCACTTCAAAAGCCTGGTATACTGCAATTTTTCACTCAGTTTCTAATTAATGACATTATTGAATTTTTTTTCTCAGGCCTTTGGTGACTTCAGAGTTTAGAGCAAGACCTGCATTATTCACCGAGTCACACTAAAGGTATGTGAAATTGCAGGTGGCTTCAAGCAGTAGATTCATTTTAAACAAGATACATACATTAGTTAAAACAGAAACACTGTTTTGAGAAAAAAAAAAAAAAGACTTCACTGTATTATGTCTTTGCATTTCTGTATAGAAACAAATACATTTTTAGAAAAGCTCAACACCCAA